CTACGCCAGAAATAGTTTCCTCTGGCCGTCGGTATTTTTAAATAATTTCTCGACGACCTACGACAATTGTGTGGCATGAGCCACGTTTTAAGTGCTTAACTACTTCATGTAACTTCTTGTTCTTTTCAACATGCCCGAACAATGTTGAACTTTCACAAACTTTTGATGAACTGTTAATTTCTCTTGTTTCCTAAGTTCCTGATTCAATGGCGCAACCATAACTGTTCGATAGGGGTTAAAAAAAATTTGTTTATACTTTATTAACATCATGATAATATTAACTCTAATTTTCTTCATTTTTATTTCCAAAATTATTTTTTTAAATTTTTAGAGCCATTTTTATATTAATTAGAAAAGAGATTTTTAATTTTTTAATTAAGGGGTTAATTGACTCTTCTGAATCCTTATAGTTACTCTACTATTCTAATTAGGTGTTGTTGATTCAAAAGATTAATTTGATATCGAATTAAAAAAAAAGTGTGGAGTTTCGTCCAGCCTGATAATTGCATCGAATAATTCGTTAACTTTGGTAACATTAACCAGATCGTTCTCGATCCCCCCTCACGGTCTCCTGTTTTTCAAACTGCTGTGTTTAAAAGCTGATGTATGCAGTCGGTCTGCTTTGGTTGGACGGTATAAATACAATGGCCAAAAGCCGGGGAGCTCTCCTCGAATAAACACAGACGTTTCCTGACTTCGTTGGCTGGCACGAACGTACGTGAGAAAATTCAGAGTGCCGGTGCTTCGAGATGACCGCAAAAATTTTTGCACCGCGATACCTAATCTTCCCGCCGGAAACACCGTAGCTTTTTTATTCGAACGATCGGGTATGAAACGTTTCCGTCAGGATTAAAAGCACTTGGGAATATTCCTGGTGGTCGTTCGCGAAACCATGCCGAATGAGAAAGTTTCAAAGAACATTGTCTCCCATTTTGCCTGAAAATAAAGGAAGAGATATCGACACAGGTGACGCTATGCATTGGAAATGATACGATGAATATAAATGAACGAGAGATTCGTGAAGAGTGAGTTCGATAGAGGAAGAGATACGATATTGTTGAATTAAAATATCAGGGATCATCCATGTGAAATTAATCGAAGAAAGAGACTATTTGTAGGGTCTTGATAGGCTGTTTTGTTACGCTGTTACTTGAATCTTCTTCTGATCCACCTTCGCAGTATCGTTATATAATAGACCATAATACAAGGTGGAAAGAAATGAATGTTTCAAATAATTAGAATCTAATTTTATGAAATTTGATAAAATTAGAGTATATTTTTTAATTTTATAGACAAATTTTATTTAATATGTATCGATAATAAAGGGAACCCTGAAGGAGGGGAAAATAAACATTTATTATTCCAAATATTCAGCATAAATATTCAATGATTATATAAAGAAGAAAATTAAATTTTATGTAATATCGAATAATTACGGAATAAATATAGGCCTCGTGAAAACAAGAAAACGCAGATAAATCTATCGGAACTGGAATCTTCGCGTATACAAACGTTGTAATCGTTTACACGTAAAATTTACGCCTGTTCGACATTCAAGAACGAAAATTGCTGTTATATCGTTGTCGATAGCTCAAGGAATAATAACAGATTTCATCGATATTACCCTCGATTATCAAAAACTTCCTTCAATAATTAACTTGAATAATTAATAATCGTTTCGAAGAATCGTAGACTATCGTAGAATAATTTAATACAATCGTAAAGGAATAATTTACGACATGAATATAAAGATCAAACGAATAAAATGTGTGAAATTCTCATATAAACTCGTCTAGTTCAAAGGGATACGGGTCTGTGCCAAAATTCGATACGAAGCGATGACAAAAATATTCTTAAACAAGTGATTCATAAAACTATGAAAATTGTTCCACGATATCTAATAACAATTGCCCGCTAAAATAAACTCGAACAGATTGTTTCTGTACAACCAAATAAAGCGTTATGCCTTGTCAACAATTATCACTAGTAAAGAAGTAATAATTGATCTCGTTGAACCGATGCCAATTTTCTCGTTGCCTTCCGTGTATGAAGATATTAGATAAACTGCTCATGATGAATGTGATGTGTCATTTGATAAGCGGCAAGAAATTGTATTCAATATTTTAAGGCTGTTCTCTTTAACAAGATTAATGGAGGATTTTCTATTTAATCCTTTGAACGAGAAAAATTTTTTCTTTTTTTTCTGGACTTTAAATTATATTTTTAGATAAAAAATGTTTATAATTTTCGAAATTTACTAAAATTTTAATTAAAAAAAATACAAGAAGAAAGTTTTGCTGATTACTTGTGAATTTAGAACAGATGCACTTTGGTGCATTGCGATGCATATTGCAGAATTTGACTCGGTAGTGTAACAACTTCCGTCCATATCTCATTTGTTAATTCGTTTGCAATAAAAATGTGAATTTGGACGAACCTCCGCAGTCTGGTTATTACAGAAGAAACATCAGAGGTGGTTTAATGGACGGATAATAAAACGTTTACGAGTTCTTCGAATGGACGTGTACAATGGGTTCACCTATGCTTTCCAGCAGAATACTTAAGGCAAAATAAAATAGAAGGTATAATAACGGATTCACGGTGTCAGCATTTATTTGAACGTACGCTCGTAAAACGTGAAATAAAAGAAATTCAACTGGAATATACGTCGGTCGTATAAACAAACAATGTCGTGTTAAAAAAGAAACTTCAAATAATGTAGCAGTAATAATTTACAGAACAAATTATCGGATTAAGAAGCGTTAAGAAAATATGTGTGTTGATTTAAAAAAACTCGACCGAGTTGAAACAATCATGACTGAAGTAACACACCTTAATATTCAACCACTTAAACATTTCATTCGAACAAGGTTTTCCTTTTTCCTGTGTTTACCGTCGAGCGAAATCGAATGCAAAGGCAACGTGCAACGAATTAACCATGTCGTAACGATTTCCATCAAATTCAGTATTTCCTCGGTAAGTGAACAAGAGTCACTGAATCATTGCGAAGGACACCATAGAGAGCTTCCGTTACCCTAAATCAAATTTAATTAGCGTTTCCTATACATATATATTAGGAACGAGTAGAATGGCACGAATCCTTTGAAAATGTCATCGATGACGATACTCGAACGCCAGCAATAGGATTTCTCTCTATGTTCTGGAAATGCATGCTAGTCCTGGCTGAGTGAACAGTGAAACGGACAAAAGCGTGTCAATGCCGTTTCACCAACGATTATTATCGATCTCGACTACTGCACGGATAATTTATATATTGTACACCTTATCCTTTTCGAAGAATTCTTTGGAAAAATCTTCTTTAACATGTTTGCTTTGGAGATACTGGTTAAACTTTCGGAACACGTGCGTGTAAAAATAGCTACGAAACAGACAGAACATAGGTTCATTTGGTTTCGAAAAGAGGATATCTTTTTAGAGGATTTTGGCCAAAAAATGAACGTACTTTGTTAGAGTTTTTCAAGAATAAATTATTTTTTTTTTACGAAAGTTTCTATTTAAAATTTAAGAATGCTCGATTTCAAAGCTCCCGAAGAAAGTTTGTTCTAATTTTTCTTTTTTTTTGGTAACGGTAATGAGGTTGTATGTATTGTAATGTATTCCGGGGTGTTCGATGGAAGAAAAGTTTTCTTTCTCCCACAACTTACTACGTGGAATAAAAGGAGGATTTACGAAATGCATCGAGGAAAGTCACAACGGAGGGTAGAAAACGAGGGTAGCCGAGTATCGAACCCGCAGTTGCGTTAGGGTGAAATTTCCAGACCAAACCCGTGGTTAATTTACAAGTTGCGAAAGGGAGTCGTGACATGCGAAACTGTTGTTTGCCGTGTGACGGAGGTGCTAATTATTACAGATAAAATTCGAGCGAACTTAAGCCAGCAGGAAGCTTTAAACCATTTGGAGGATATAATAACCGTCAGAGAAATCACCCAGACGAGTCCCTTACTCATGAATAATTGGTGTATTATAAAAGATTAAATTAGATCATATAACACCTTGATGAGTAATTTCAATAATTGGATTTTGTTATAATTTAACATAATTCAGCTTATTTTCAACTTAATTATCATGCTTTAGTAATATAACACATTGAAGATGCTAAGGGTTAAAATTGATCCTCATAATGTTTATTTAAGTATTCTTTACATATAAGAAATAATAAACAGTTTTCTTTGAAATTCCATTATGGTAATAATGGTATTAAAATTAGTGAAATTTAAATACTTCATTCCATATCAAAGTGATAAATGGAACAAATACATCCACTACAAGCAATGATTTCTGCAAAAATAATTTTCCCTGGGATCAAAAACGTACTTCTGAAAAGTTGACGTTTTAATTATAGCACGATAACGCCAGCTATTAATTACTTAATAGTTAATTCTCCTTTAGTTGGTTCGTCAAAACACACCTCCCATCCTCGTATCTCCAAGAGAAATTATAATAAAGTAAATACATTGATGCATCAGAGAGAGAGATAGAGGTTTTTGCATAATGAAAAATTTTCGAATTACCTCAATCTCATGTTTTCAAATTTATTTTTACATCGGCATAAAAATAGAAGTGCGAAGAAGAGAAACACACGCAGTATTGCAACAACATGAATCGTTGAAAAAAGCCGGTCGTGTTACGAGGTCCACGATGTTTGTTTGACGAATTCGTTCCATAAATCGTGTTCGGCCAAGTATTTAAAACAAAAATTCTCGAATCGTGTGAACGATCGCACGTGGAAGATGGACGAATTTCACGGTGGCTCGAGTCACGAGGTGGCCAGCATCAAAAATAAAGTCAAAGCAGCAGCTGCGACGACGTTTGAAAGAAAAAGAAGAAGAAGAAAATGTAGATTACTGGGTTTGCGAAGAATATTTAACGACGGGTGAAACAATAAGCAGAAAGAGAAACGTGGGTAGCGATTCAACAGGGGAGTCGTCAACACGTGTCTCTGATGTTGTCTCTCCCTCTTGAGATTTCTGTTCGCTCACCTAAGTTCTTCTGCTATTTCTCGGCTGTCGTCCAACCTCGAAACAACCAGAATCCCGTTTTACGGCTGTTTGAATTATCCGGTCTGGTCTCGTGGAACTCGATCGACTTGGAAATAAACTGTCAGGACAAACGTGGCTCCACCACCTACACACGATGCCGGTCGGCCCGACACTGATCGTACACCTACTACTTGCTGTGTGGCTTCGCAGCGGGAGCAGAACACCCAGTGGGGGTAGCAGCAAGAAATGGAACGAGGAAACGAAGGGCCAGCAGGGAAAATATGCGACGGAGAAAAGCCAAAGGAGGCAAAGGGAACGATATCTATCCCTTATTTTTTTTCACCGACTGCATATTCGCAAACCTTTTATTTATTCTCCACGGAATTCTGAAATTTATATTTATCTCGATACACTCGGTTTTCTTTTATTCACCAGCGTTCAAAATGTTATTTGAAAACTATAGTCAATTTAATTGCTTGAATTTGTGTTTTAAAATATGATATAGGTTTTGTTGAAATACTTAATAATTGCTACAGTAGAAAAGCACATATGTGGTCAGACATATTAAAACTTTGATTAATAATTTGATCGATTAATTTTCAAATTAAAACTTTAAAATTGGTAATGTGTACTAACGCTATTCAAAGTTTACCTTATTTTTACTTTTATTAATTATTCGTGGAACGGATCACCAGTCACTATCATCGCAGACAACGTGTTAATACAGTGGGTGGCGGGTGTAATTCAATATGCAAATCGTTAAAGTTCTTTATTTTCATACACAAACCGTACAGTAATGCAATGCGGTCAAACAAGCTGAAAATAAGTTGGCATTTCAAGACTCAACTAAAGTACAAGATCATTAAATCCTATGCTTCTAATATTAGATTGTTTGAATGTCCCTAAGCAAAAGATTCGTGCAGTGAACAATGAAAACCATACAATGCTTCTTACATTTAATTGTGCAAATACCCATTATTTTTGCTTCCTTTTTTCAATACGATTGATTATTATCTCAGCACAAAATACCAAGAAAGAAAGTAAACATCCGCAGCCTCCTATACAAATCAGACTAGACACTAACGATGATTCCGTCTGCTCATCAATATTAATAAAGTGCGTTTTCCTTATTGAAAATTGACCACTATCATTCGCGTACCATTTTTCAAAAATGCCTGAGGCTTGTAAACGGATCAGAATCTCGTTAATTCGCTTAGTGTATGGTAAATTCTTACGCACATAGTAACCAACCGGTGGTTTAGCGTAACAGAGATTCTTACAGATGGTCATGACGTTTTCACCTCTACGTAAGAACGAATAAATATTTTTCTCGGCAAATTTGGAATTCAAGAAACAAGTAACATTTTTATATTTCGCTAAATAGTCACAGCAATGATATGTACTATTTTTGACCAAAGCTTTCTTCTTTAGGGCTGCTAAATACGGATCATTATTATCAAAAATTGAATTGTATAACGATGTACGGATAATAGGAATCAATCCAGAATTATCCAACTCTTTAAAATCCTTATAAACTGTTTGAGATGATCCGTGAAGACTGCTAGTAGTCAGATCACTGTACAAATTAGTGGAATAAATAGATGACAGAAGAATGAGACCAAGAAATATAGTCTTCTCGATTAGTCTTTTTGGTTTCATAGACACAGATGTTGCAATCAATAGACCAAAGATTTCCAATGGTCGCCAGGATTTCTGATAAAATTTTAGGATAATTGATATCCTCCAAACAATTAAAGTTACAATGAAACTAATGGCTATACTAATAACAGCTCTCGTTACAAGTGTTTCATACTGATAAACAATTGGTACCACTGGACAAAAAGTTTCAAAGAAGAGGGGCAAAGTATATCCAACATCGTTTGATATATAGTTCTCATCCTTGAAAAAAGGTAGTGATATCATCATTATGTCAATGTCGTACTTTCTTCTAAATTCACCCAAGCCTGTTTGCGGCAATTCATAGAATAATAGGTTTGGAGTGAAGTTTAGAGTTTGAGTGATTGCGTCCCATGTTTTTGCGTCAGCACCTCCAATCGTTATATTTTGTGTACTTCCTTGATAATATGTCTTCGGTATTAAAGTAGATGCTTTTTGACGCACATATGCTTTCACTGGATAGCCGTAGAGATTCTTTAGTTTATTAGGAAACCATTCTACACTTGATGTGTACCGTTGTCGATCATATATTTTTGAAAATGGATTGTACTGATGAATCATTATAACAGTTTGATCTTCTTTGAATTTTGGTACCTCTAAGATCATCACATCCAAAATATGGTTCTTCCACATTTGCTCCAAAAATGATAGAAAATTGCAATTTTCTTCTTCTAATACAGTCACCAACAAAACTTTTGGAGTATTGTTATTTGAAGTAATTGTGTCAGTAATATTTTTTGATTCTTGCAAATTTGGACAATTATTAGAGAAGTAAATAAATAGCAGTAGAGTCTCATGAGATGTATAAATAGACGGTAATTTTGCAGGAATTGAATTATTTAAAAAAATGTATGTAGTTGGTAGAATTTCAGCTACTGTCTTGTATATCCCATCAATTACTTCAGATTTGTTTTTGTAAGGATCGTGAACAAGCAGATGCACATCTGAGAACTTTGTTGTATTAAGGAGTTGTTGAATTGGTTGATTAATGGTCGTTAAATATTCCGAATAACGCATTTGATGTATCGCCAAAAGGAACAGTGGCAACATGGTAACAGTTTTCATCGAATAATTTTCTTGAACAGTTTGATGATTCTGAAACAACATACGTTAAATAAATCAATGAATGGTATACAAAATGCTGGCCAAAAATATGGGCTATCTTATGACAAAAGTTATGCAAGACAATTTACTTTCATTATTTTTATTGCATTAAGTTCAGAATTGATGGATACAGCCTGAGAAGTTTGCGAAAACTTTTCTTTGCGGAACACTAAATAACGTCGTATTTTTATTAATTCAAATGGTCCCATATTTTTCACCACAATCGAAGAACTATAACATTAATTATAATTTCACCTTCAATTCACAAAAACTAAATATGTCGAGCTTGCACAAAACAAAAGTGCAAGCTGAATACTTGCATACAACTGAATGCAATTACTTTATACTTTTAATTTTCTCCTATGAGGCAATCGTGTAATGCATACAAATGATATCAGACCTGTAGAACAATTTGAAATGTGTTGCTTTTTTAAACAGGTAAAAGCACTTTACTTTATTCATTAATTAAAAAGGTGTACATTACATTTGTTTTCCTATTTCTGTATAAATTTTTCGTTTTGTTTTCTTCGGCGCATTATATTTTATTCGATTAAAATTTATTCAGCATGTGTGGCAATGTTATTAATTATTCCAAGTTCCGCGTTACTAAATACATAGCCTGAAATAGCTGAATTATTTATCAGATGAAAGATGAATGAAAGTTAAATATCCAAATGAGTGCTAGAAAATAACTTATGATAATTTTCAGGAAATCATTATGAAATTTCCTTCCGTTTTACAATATTTAACTGAGAATGCAGTGCAACGAAGAAACATGATTCATTTTTCTCAACGGAAATTGTATCAATAAAGTCGAAGGTTTCTTTCATTAACGAATCGTTCACCTGCAGTATGCAGGCGGCATATTAAATTAAGTCTGACATCTTCCACTTATTGGTAATTTACGCGTTTAATGCAAATTTTACTGATCATTATCTAGAAACCTACAAATGATCCTTGACGATGCATTACACCTATAATTATGATGATTTTATTAATCACGATGATTGCAAGACCTTCGTGTAATTCAATGTGTCACGTCTATTACCGTCTTTATATTTTAACAAATTTTATAAATTGATTTCAAGGTTCATCACGGACACTCATTGAAGTAATCATTAGCTGTTTTTATTTAAATACGAAACATCACATTATACACGAAAGAATACATAATGGTTGATTCTAAATTGAAAATCCAAATTTTTATTTCTTATCACTATTGAACCTGATATGAATAATTTGAAAATAACGTAAAACTATAGTGATTTGTCTTTGAATTATCCATATCAAGTTTTGAAAAATTGAAGGGTTAGAAAATAAAATTTGAGTAATTTTATATGATTAATTAAATTAAATCACCAAACGAATTATAGTTAAAACTTAATATTCAAATCTTTACATTTATTAAGCGTATACAAGTATGTTGACCTTACGACACTTAGAAGATTCGAAAGTATATTTTCAAGCAACGATATAACAACAATTGTGCATTACAATTTGTTGCGAATATCTGATAAATAGGACGGACGTTGTTAGAATGTTAGATGTCATAAATAATATCACCTCGCACGAATATTATATCTGTGACATATAAACAAATGAAGATGACAAATAAACACAACAATAAATGCATATTACAAATAACGTACACAGCGATAAGATAGGAATAAAAATATTAAATATATCTATATACCCATTTTTTTTTTGGCGTTTCAAAAAGCACAGCGGAATGTTCCAGCTTTTTTTTTATCGAGCTACTTTAATTAAATAATTGTACGAATAATTTCATTTATATGTGTGTTGATTAAATTTAATTATGCATTGTTCGCGATTTACGAACGGAACACGTACGTATTCTAATTTCTAACAAAGACTAGAGAAAAGCATGAGAGAAGAATTAGGATAAGATTGGGAAGGAAAGTGGTGACCCCACTTCCGTTCCAACAGACGTTGAGATTGCAACGATTTATGATCGGGTTGAATTTTTGCTTGAAATATTCCCAATCGCAAAGGCCTACGTCACATCCGTCTAACATGACCAGCTTCTCGGCCAAGTAAAACATTACTTTGTTTGGTTGAGTGTTGCCGTCGCATCTGCGAATCAAAATAGAAACCATTTTAACTAACCGCAAATCATTTTGTAAAATCTTCTAAAATAAGACGTCCCCTTACTTGAAACATATACAAAGATGTTCTGATTAAAACAAAGCAATTCTTACTTGTAAAACACAGCGACGAGATTTGCAGCGAAGGGTGAAATAAAGGATGTTCTCCATTGTCGTTTCGCCATATCCTTGTAATTAAAAGCAGTTGGCTTCATTTGATCTTTATTTATGCCCAATGTAGTCAGAAGATTTTGCAAACTGATGATGTCGCTGAAGTAAAATATTCCATTCGGTTCCATCGACTCTTTATCCTGCTCCACTTTCCTATAAAAGTTTGAAATCATTTTTCTTCGATAAAAGAGAGTAATATTTTATCTTCTGTTAAAAAAGTGGCGAAAAATGATAATTCCAGTTGAGAGGATAAGAAAAGAGATTTACCAAAAGTGATTCATCATGTCTTGCAAAAGAGTACATCCTAGCTGAGCATTGATTTCACGTCCATATCCGGCTTTGTAATAGTAGTAGAGATCCTCGCGATATTCCAGTACACGAAGCTCTTCTTTGCTGAAGACCGCGCACCATGGAGAAAGTTTCGTCACTGTCCAAGCCTTTTCGTAACGACACATATTGTACATCGTTAAGATTGACTCTGAAAAATTATGGAAATTGGTCAATTTGATATCTTGATAACTGGCAGTTTGATGATTCAACGCGTTATTACTCTGTTAGCCGATACGTGTTTCTTGAAAATTGATAACTCTTTTATTTAACGCGTTATTATTTTGATAATTAGCACGTTAACAAAGCGTTTCTCTTATATGAAATTTTGAAAAGTGGTAATTTTGTTAATTAGCATGTTCGATGCTACGTTGGTCACTGGTGACTGGTACCACCAATTTAATATTATCAGATAATTAAAAGATAAACAAAGTAAAAAGATATTTTATATAACTATTTATGCAAAGTAATCTTGTGTTGAATAATTTTACTCTTCCTAATTAAAATATTTTATTTACCACTTTTTCATTTTTCGAGATTTTTAAAAATATTTATAATTCCATATATTTCAATCTCTTAATTAAAATTAGAATATCCTACAGTTTAATTTATTGGCTCTAACAACTCTTCATCTTGGTATTCGAAAGTAGCTTAAATAATTCGAGTACTTTGTAAATACGTGGAACGAAAGGTCATTTCGAAATCCATGAATTTTCATGATATTCAAATACCATCAAATGAAACTTTTGTATTGGAATTAACTCGGATTCGTGAATATATCAAGGGTACCACCATCAATGGGAAAATAGCTTACCTTTGGAAATGTTATACAAAAATCCAAGACGTTGACTAACATTTAACAAGAGATTCTGAAATTCTGGCCCTTCGTCGAATCTGCTCACTTCCTCCATAGAAATACTGCTACTTTCATTGTTCCATATATTACAGCTTTTATAAGGCTAAAATGATTATTATATAAATAACTTTTTTTATATAACACATCCTCGAAGAATACTTACCGTTAGCAGAGTATCATTTATAGGAACTTCTTCTGCATCTACAGCGTTTCTGTTTCCAAACAGCCCCTCTATGAACGACCCCATGCTGTCACGTGCATCGGTTGTTCTAAACTAAACATGGTTAATTCGACTCCATTAAATTTTCATTACTTCTCATTTATTATGGCTTTGATCTCTTTTAAATACCATATAATTTTGCGAAGTTATATTATCGTTGCCCGATTGCAGAAGCTGAGGAAAATTGCTTTGCAATCTTCTTGCTAGCAATCTCATATCTTCGACACCTTGCGGTGTCAAAACTTCCGCTCGTTCGATTACAAGGTACGCATCTGGTTTCCATCTCTTCAGATTTTCTAAATCTCTATTACACATGTGCCCGTCTGCGAAAGAAAAAATGTTGCAAACAATGTAGCAATGATAATTTAAAAATTTTGTATTAGTTATTGATATTCATGTATTTTGAAAATGAATTAAGGATAATTGATCAGACTTAAAATGTACAAAATTATCGATCATGAATAGTAGAATGTAGGTTGTAGAATATTAGAAAAGTAGAATGATTTGCCAACAACGAGAACGGAGGTATTCGTTTTTGGTAATATTAGCCGCTCCTGATAAGAGATACGAATGTGTTTCAATTTAGAAAGGTAGGCTTATGCGTGGAATCAATAAATCTTAGGTTAACGGCTGGAAAGGTAGCTATTGATTACCATGTAAAACAACGCGTGGCTAAGATCGATAGGAAAAAGTGTCAATGACCTGAATTAACAGCGAACTAGTTTAGTCGCGTTTCCTTGGAAGAGAATGACGTCTCCTTCGTAAAAGTTCAACGAACGATGAAACTCGAGAATTGCGTGCTTCAATTTCGCTGAAGAAAATAATTCACTTTTTTCGCTTACCGTTTCGTGATTCGTGATTATTAATTATCTGGGTTTGCAGCTCTGTTAATGTCAGCATTTGGCTGATCTCTGCTTGCGATGGACATCGGGTACCATGTGCGGCAAGCATCCAAACTTGTTCCGCACGGCAATCTATAAAATAATTAAATACAGATCAAGAAATATATTTTAAATAATCTTTAATTAAATATATTTCAGAAGAAGTTGAAATGGATAAATTGATTCTGTACGTAGTGAAAAGAAATTTCTTCGAATAACTTGGAGAAATAATATTATTTATTGTATGTATACTTACTAGGCACGTCTTGAAATCTGGTTTTACCAGCATGGACAAAATGATAGGCAGTCTTGGTGGCCATGTACAAATATGGGTCGTCCTCGTCGACGAAACAGAAATCAACGTCACGGGCGTAAACGTGACTTACGAGGAAAACCGTGAATAACAGATGTGCGATCATTATTGAAAGTTTTTATCTGCAATGAAAAATGTACATTTGTTAATGAATGAAAATGTGTCACATTGTCTGTTGCATATGTAATGGTATTAGTTTTCTAAGTCATAAAGGAAGAATGGCAGAGATTAAAATTCCTCTCTAGTATTTTGAAGTTATAGTACTCTTCGTTTCATCAGAGTATTGCAAGCAGTAAACCTACATTTTCCTGTGCTGATGTCACATGTTACTTTACTACCGGCTTCATAAATTGCAACCAACGTGAGGTCGGTCTTATATAATCAGAAGGATAATTTATTTATTTCCCATTTTCCGCGATTAAGTAAAAAAAGGAAAAAAAAAATAGAATGGAATTATCTTTATATCCTTGAGGTTTATATAATGGATAAATTTAAAAACTATTAGCCTTCATCGATAAATCATACTTCAAATTAAGAAAAAAAAATTGCAAAATAGTAAAATTCATAAATTTAGTAATTTTAATTAAGAAGAGTTTCATTTACAAAAATTATTAATTTATACCTTCAGATATTCAACTCGAGTTTCCTGATTTACCATTCAAAAATGAGATGATTTACGAACTGTAGATACACGTGCATCAAGGTTAAGGATAAATGAGAAACATGCACACGAATGTGAAAGTTAAAATGTGTTCGTGTATTACTGGAACAAGCAGGTACATTGCATAATTTCCGAGCAACAAGCAGGTTCAGCTGAAGTTCCAGTTTTCATTACGTGATTATTAATGTTGCAAACAGTTTCGTAGCGTGACCTCTGCTTTCTTCTTATCTAAAGGATTCACTACCAAACTCGTGCCTCAAGTTACTAATCGCTTTTGTCAGATATTAACTTTCACATAATTCTGCTGTTAAAGCAAACAATAGGAAAGTTTGTAATTCTAGTCACTTAAAAAAGAAAAGTACCATTTTAACTAATTAAATTTGAAAATTAATTAGGTAAATTCCACGGGAACCACAAATTTAACATAATCGAATAATTGAAAATTTTTAATAAAATTAGTATTATATTAACTTTGCAAGATAGCAAATTCAAATGATTACATTTTGAATAATTTCAATTATAACGTGTTGTATTACCTAAAATGTTAATTGATAGTATTTTTAATATTTTTAATACACTACATGGCAATTTTCATTGCAACACTCAAAATGTTAAACTGTGCTGAGTTAGCAATAAACGACAAAGACGACAATTTTCTGCACACTATAATGCACAAATACAGAATTTTCTAAAAAAAGATATGCAAGGATTCATGAAGAACCTATGAAGGCGGAATGCTGTTAAAAGAGCAATTCAAGAATGAGTAAGGTTGACGATAGCGTAATTGCTGGCGGCTCGATTAGCAAAGCCTTCTTTCAGTCTAATAAGTCTACTTGGCCTACTTATTGTTAATGTCTTGTGTCCGTAAGTGGCGAGTGTCGCGTAAGCCTGGTACCAATCTGATTCAACAAAGTCTTAAAAATTTTATCTTCTTCAATAATAAACGTCGAATCAGAGATCAGTGTCTTCCTCTCGAAGAATAAATGGCTACTTTAGAAAATAATATATCATTTTTCTCTCATCATGTTGAGGGTCGTAGTGATTTAGAAAATTGAAAGTAATAATCAAGCTAACTCGAAATATTGTCGAATAGAAGGACAAATCTTTTACAGTCCCATTATATTATTTCATAAAGTAGCTGTTCAAATTAATCCCAAGTTAACGATTGATATTATTTATCGATCGATATTACTGCTTTCCTTTGTTCCATCGAAACCCGAACCGAAGAAGAACAAAACAGTTTACTCTCGCACAGTGGACGATAATTTGTACTTGATAATTGAGAACAAAAGTAGGACGTCCACGTCACGCTCAGGTGGTCTTCTACTACTACCAGTTCAACGATTTAATTATTCACGGACGAGTTTATTTATTCAAATGAAATTCCGCCTCGATGTGTAAGCGGCATTCCATCCAAAGTTGTATGATAATAAATTTCGTTGCTCGGGTTAACATGGTATCGCACCCATGACCTGTCGCAAACATACTCCATAAAACTTTCCTTGTATCAGGAACGTAACAAAGTTAAATTTCGAACGGATCAACAGCGAAAGCGATATACAGCGGGCCGGAAATTATATCATTTGCATGAAATAGAAAGGATCGTCGTGGTATTACCGTAATCTTGAAAGCCGGTGTTTAAACTTCACGCCCTGCTTAGGAGGATTAAATCGAGCACAGACCGTTAGAAACAACTAGAAAGAAAAAGTACGAACGACAATGGGAACTTTTCACTTTTCTTCCTCAATCTCTAATTTGAAATAAATCAGTTCGATACTTTCTAAACACTTAAAACACAAAATCAATTTCTTAGTTAAATTAATGATCGTTCCTTGTTCATTATATTGATTTTTAAATTAAAAATTTCACGAATATCGATATAAATTTGGCTCTGTTTTGAATTTGTATCGGCAGTGAATTCGCGGGTTCGAGGAACCGATCTCCGAAGCGGAGTTTCGAAGAGTCAACTGTTGGCGATTCGATCACGAAACACTGGCACCGTGTATCACCGTTGCAAATATTAAGTGGACTGTGAAAAAGGATGGTGAAACTCGCGTATTCCTGTTTTGTATGCCGATCGCGACCACCTTTCGAGGCGGCAGCTCGTGTGCCACTGCCGTAAGGTCGTCGAGCTTCGTTGCATCCAGCGTATATACTGTGTAAAAGTCGGTATAGTTTCAACGATAGTTCGCCACCTGAATAGGGGATTACCTACGGTTTGTAGATTTTGATCCTGGCGTATGGCACACGCCAGTGTTTCGTGCGTTCTAGAAAATCATAAAGGTTCGTTACTTTGAGCAAGCGCGATCGATAATGAGTTAGGAGAACGAGAACCCCTAAGTTACGGGAAAATTCAGCCATTACAATAGTCCTTACTCACGCTTGAATCAATCTTTTTATGGCAAATCTTCTTTTGGGAAAAATTTTGCAGTCATCTTGGTCATTTGCTAACTCAGCAAAATTGAATACCACGGGGACCATTGGTAATGGTGGCATAAATTGAGATAAAAATAATTTTAAATTCCATTATGGAAAATATTTAGGAGGAGGTTTAAATTAAAAAATTGAAACAATTGCAATAATAATTTTTTGATTTATGTTAATTTTCTGCTGTCATTAGTGATCCTCAAACGTTAATTTTCAAATTTCAATTTGAAGTTTGAATTTGACAATTATTTTTCTTTTAATATATTATTGCTTAATGTGGGTAGAATAAGTTTCAGTAATAAGAGATGACCTGCAGATGAAATTTCAAATTGAACTTTCCTCGATGCGATTGCGGTTGTTGAAATGATACTAACGTGTTATTACGTCACATTAATATTACAGCAAGATTGCTCATGTTTGTTGCATAATAAAATCCATAGGTGTTAAATTATTACCCATTGTGGTATTTAAGTATACATCGCTGTGACTACCATTTGTCACGGTAGTTCAAATGGCACCGACATAAAATCGTCAAGCTTCGTTGCTTCCTACCTGTACGTTCTGTACGTTTAGTACTCTGTTCAAACCATACAATAGTGGATAAAATGTTGGAATATGTAACGAGAAATATTTAGAATGGTTCTTTGATTGGTATAATAAGGAACAATGTGAATTTCCATTTTCAAAATTTAATTATGTACTCGTATAACACGAATAACGCATGAATAATTTTATATAAATTAAAACAAAAAAATTTCACATATTTTGTTGTTCGAATGTTAAAGTTAAATGAGATAAGGAACATTACATTTTGTACAATAAATTCTAGATGAATTTGTCACGCAAATTTGAATATTAATTATAAAGATTATTGTTGAGTTTTAATGGTATGATTATGAGCACATAATGTTCGTTGATATGAGAGTAACGTAAGGTCGTTCAGCTTCGTTGCCTTGACGATGCACACACAGCATATGAGATTGTAATTTCTTCCACACAATCCCCGACAAAAGTACACCTGATATTCTTGGTAATCACTTAAACTACTCTCGTTATTATCTTACTACAGTTTCTTGATGATGTAATATCGTTTAATCAATTAGACAAATTCGATTAATGCTCGGATGATCGGTACACCTTACAAGTAGCCTTATTTATTACAAAAATCTGTATTGCAGTTGAACGCACTTGACCCTATCTTCTTTTTCAAGTATTCCCAATCGCAAACACCCATTTCACAGCCTTCGTAGTTTAGAGGTTCTTCGTTTAAGTATAATCTTACTTTGTTCGAGGAATCGCACCTAGAAATAAAACAAAATGAAATTATATAACAATAGGATTATTTTTAGGCAATTTTTATAACTAAAAATTAATGAACCAAGTAATTAAAAGTCTTAATTATAAACGTACTTGTAAAAAACAGCAGCAAGATTCGCAGCAAATGGTATCAGTTGAGAAGTATTCCATCTTCTATTTCCCATGTCTTCGAAATTCGAAGCTTTTAGCGGTATTGAATCTTCAGCAATTTTCATTGATGTGAGAAGTAATTGTAATGCTGAACTATGACTGAAGTAAAAAACTCCTAATGGTTCGCTAGAATCTCCGTTCTCCAGTTTGCTAAAATATTGATGGCATTAATCCTTCTGCTGCTAACGAAAGGGTTAAATTTAAAGAAACTTACGAAAAACGATTGAACATGTCTCGCAACGGCGGACATCCAATTCTGCTGTTCATTTCTCGACCATAACCAGAGTGATAATAATAATGAAGATCATTTTCGTACTGAAATACTTTCAATTCATCTTGTGCAAAAACAGCGCACCAAGGTGATACTTCATCTACTTGCCAAGCTTTCTCATATCTGCATGCAGTATACATGTCCATAATATCATCTAAATCAAATCATTTAATTAATAATTAATATTTCTCTCTTTTCACAAAGAAAATTTGTCGATTCTCAAATAACATATCGTACCTAAAGTGAGATTATCTTGAAAACCCAGTCGTTTACTAACGTCATTGATTATTTTATCGTATTTTGGGCTATTTACAAATGCATCTACTTCAGCATTGATAGAAGAATTGTTTTTTCCTGCTTTCCAAGCCTTACAAGTCTTATAAACCTGAAAATGAAATAAATTTTTATGAAAAATGTCCTAAGCATCTTAAATAATTAGCAAACCTTAAATTTTTAAATGAACAGAGATTAATTTTTATTTTTATAATATCACTCACTACTTTATCAAGACTAGTTGAGTAATAAGATTTAAATTACACATAATTAATAGTCAGGATCAAAATAATAACGTAAGACTTAAATTTATGAATAGATCGGTCGCGTCATTAATAATTAATATCTTAATGTCTTACACATCCGTTTGTATTATGGCAATGAACGTGTTAGAGGAATTTTTATGAACCTTTAATAAAGTGTCTGAAGAAATTGGCACCACTTCCTTGTTGTCGATGGTTACATTACCAAAGAGACCTTCGATGAAGCGGTCCATGCTAAGTATAGTCCGCTGAGTGTCCGTTGATCTGAACTATGTAAAAATGGGAAGCAAATCAGACGTAACGAACGTTAAGTGGCAATTTAAGCACTCGTATGTTGTATGTGTTTCGAGAACGTACTTTATACTTCTTCGTTAAAGCATCAGCTGAATCAGGCTGTAAGAGTTGAGGAAAGTAATCTCTGAATCGCGTACCAAGTGATCTTAAATCTTGTTCACCTTGCTCTGTCAGGTAGTTCGTGGGATTTTTCAAATTTTCAGCCAGTGACCATGCTTTTAGATTCTTCAAATCTTTTTCGCATAAATAAACACCTGAAATAAATTTTAAAATTATATTTAAAAGAATTAAAAAAAAAAAATGTTTGCTATAAAATATACTCACTTCCGTATTTCTCGTGATTTTCAATAATTTTTTCATTTAATTTCGGCAAATTACGTTTCATACTCTTCATCTCCTTCGAACTTGGATTACGAGTTCCGTGTCTAATTAACATCCATATTTGTACAGGTTCGCAATCTGCGATAATAAAAAAAATAGAAAATAAAAAGGTGTGTCTTCAGAATACATTTATTAACGATTGATCGAGTAAGTATAATTACTTGACACGGTAGTGTTTTTAATTAACCCATGCGTGAATTCATAAGCCGATTTTGTACCGAAGAGTAAATAGGGATGTTCGTCATCGGAGTAACAGTAATTGGCATTGTCGTCGCATGAAACTAATTGATTCTTCAGACAGACCAGAGCAATTAATATCGTAAAGATTTTCACATCCATCATTTCTGTAATTAAAAATGAAATAAGGAGCGTATTAGTAATTGAATATAATTTATGACTTAACACTATGATGTCTAATGCATTCATAACAGCCCATTAATTATTAAAGCAATAAAGAGATTATTCAAATTGTAATTTTTTATGAAATCAAATTTTTTTAAAATATTTCGAAGAATTTTCAAACTCAAATTTCCTAAAAAACAAAGCCAGATATGAAAAACTTTATTTTATAAAAAGTAATCAAAAGAAGTCATTTTGTATATTCAGTAACAATATTTTTAACAATTCTACAATTAACAATTTAAAAATTACAGAGTTCATGGATCAGAGGCAAGCAATGATGTACAAACATTTAAATGTAAATATTTAAAATGAAAAGAACGACACGAAAAATATTTATATAAAAATGAAAATTATGTATGTTACTGGTGTTAATACATACTTACGTGAAGGGGTTCCAATGAATGCTCAGGAAGTGATTGTTCACCTGCCGTGATCGACAGATAAAGAAATGTTATTACTTATACCGGTTCTGCTCTTTTATAGGAATAGGATGCGTCATATCAGTAGCCTCCGGGTTTCGTGTTTAATAAAATACGATTAAGCTATTCGAATGTATCTTGAAATCTCTAATGAGTAAAAATAAATATTCACATTTACTACAAATAGTGTGATGAAAAACCACACGGTAGATTTAGAAAGTCAAAATAAAGTAAAAATCAGTGTAAAACGTGTATTGCTTGAAAAAATTAAAATCAAATCAGGATCTTTTTATTTAAACACTCATGATGATCTTATATCCTTTCAAATAATTACAACCACATAGGTACATGATTATAGAATCCATGAAAAAATGCAACCTATCTTCATATATAAATCTATTAAATTCTATAAAAAGATAATTAACGTAACAATTTTTATTGTTTAAACATTGTTACGTATCTTGCTACTTCTGATAAGCAGCACGCGATTCAAACGTGATGGTAAGGAATATAATCAGAATTCGATATACGTCAATGAAATCTACAATATTAGCACAAGATGTAAGAATAGATAAATCATTAAAGGGCAGCTCTTAAATGAAGACTTTAAGATTTTGCTTAGCACTTGAGAGGACCAAGAAATTATAATACACGTAAAAAACAATTTATCATTTTTATTAATTAGTGCAAATAATCAGTTTGAACAAACAAAACGTTTTGATTCTTATTATTTTTCAACAGTTATCAATCTTTCTGATAAATATCCAATAATGTATTAAGTTAAAAATAATATAAAAATGATAAGAATTCACGAGAAAGTACGAAACGAATTGTATACCATATTTAATAAGATTTTATTCGTAATAAAGGCCGAATACACAGCAATAGGCGTGAAACGTTCGAGCTTCGTATGTAAATGTGGAATAATTATCTCTTTCAGCATCCCATAAGAATCCCATAGATGTACATATGCTTTGACTTGCTTTCTCTACGATGGTAACATTCACCACGATTTTGTACCTAGAATCAAGTATAATTTATACAAGTATTTTTGAAATTTGGTTAAACTATGATAGGAATGAGAATTACGATAAAAAAGGAATTAATTACCTATCAAAATTTAACTTTTTAATCCTTTCCCTGATATCTGTGGCAACCGATTCGCAAATCTTAGGACCCTCCACAGCGTCATAAGAGATATCTTCAAGCTTAGCAATCATTAACATCTGCACAATCTTATCCACTGGATCTACTTTGAACGGATTATAAGCTTCCAGACGATAAGTGTTCTGATATTTCGGCGCCTATGATAGTAATAAAATCATAGCAAGCAATATCGATAATTAATCTAACAATAAGTAATCTGTGCAATTGTTCACAAGTATCGTGCCATAGTACTTGATTGATTTGTTCCATATATATGATTTCAATGGAAATTGATATTTGGGAAATGATAAAGCTGTTAGTAGAATACTGTTAACCAGAATTTTATTTTAAGCATAAAATAAAAATATCAAAGTTTATGAAATTAAGTACTTAGAGAGCAAAAAAAATGAATGTTACATAATATTACATAAATGTTAAATTATAATTTTCCTTACCTCACATTCATTTTCGTGGTTCACTAAACGGTTTTCTGAATCACCCTGCAAAGGCATAATACATTAAACAACAAATGTAATGAAAAATATAGTTCAATTTCACAAGTAATGAATTATTGGAATTTAGTTTCCTTGGCAATGGATTAATAATTACATAATTTATAATAAAAACGTTAGGATTAGCAATACTTATACAGTACTATTCGGAATGGTTACTTAGACACCACCAAACAAACTTGATTGATCAATTCTGAGCTACAAAAGATCAATAAAAGCATCTTCAATAACGTCAAACATACCACATGTATCTACAAAAAACGCTTTTATTACTATTTTTCAACGCTATTTAATTTATTACGTCTTCTAAAGGGATAATAATTATTTAAAAATATATTTATTACAATCCTAAAATCAGTAGGTACTAATTTAGATGCATTTTATAGAACAAACTTAAAATTGTTTCGTCAATATTTGAATATACGAAGCGCGCGGTACGTTTAAATCGATATCGATCTACGTCATGTATCGAATCAATTCGATACTTACCCTGCGCAGAAAGGCACGCAGCCTCAATACCGCGTCTTTTAACGGTGCCGCGTCCAGTTTTAATACCGATATTATTTGCTTAAAAGTGTTTATTAATCAAAAATAACGTTTATTTTTTATATAATAGCGATTATTAGTGAAGTTGTGTTAATCAGATATAGAGTTTATGTGCATTTCTTCTGGATTGAAGACGATTCGGTGGACGCCAACGTCGATGATCTACAAAGGTTAGCTCAATACCTTTATTAAATGATTTATATGTAATATTTAATATGATTTTAAACAAAATTATTCAATTTTATCTAAAATAGTCATGTTCTAGTTAAAAAGTTGGTTCATTGCCATGATAATACCTCTCGAAATTGTTTCCATTTTCGACTTCAGAAATAGTCAAATTATATCAAATTTAGTATATAAAATAAATTATTTGTGTTAATTTAACAGTCAGACAACAGTTATCTTCAATAATCAATAGTAAATTACTTGCAGTTATGTTCAATTAAACAATTGAATTTCATGTTAGTGTCACAGGATAGTATACACAAGAATGTTAAATATTACATAAATATCCATATATTTGTATACCTTATAACATGTTTAAACACTTATATTAACTTAATTAGTCGGTTAAAATAAATTGTATGTATGACAGATTGACAACTTTCTGGCTTTATCCTATATTATGACATTATTATAACTGTGAGCTTAATTCAATGTAACAATGTTTAAACATTTTTTTGGCTAAATATATATATATAAACTTGTTAGTACTAGTTACAAATGTTATACATGTGTAACTCTTCTTAGAAGCAATAGAAAATATAAGGTTTAAAGTTTATATTTGTAACAAATGAAATTCGGTATTTTCTTCTTAAAATAAAAATATAATTTAGAAGTACATCAGTAAATTCAATGAATAAATTAAACGCATTAATATCGATCAAAATAAGTTAAGGTTTACACAGATGTCTTAGATTTAGCATTAAAAAAGTAAGCCTCTACATTACTTTATTTGATTTAAGCTATGTTTCTATCATTATTATTTAATAAATTATAATTGAATTTGGCTAATACCAAATATAAGACATAAGTGTACTTTATATTTAATAATACAATAGATACGTGTATGATATTTAACATACACCATTTAAAATACTAATTCACAAAATATATGTTTGTGCTACTTTACTCTATATGGAGATCAAATGCTACTGACACAGTAAAAGAATTTTTGTGTCAATTGGAACGTTATTTTTTTTTTACAGTTCAATAATAAACATATCAAATAACAAAATTGCATAAAGATACATTTTACCATGCTTAAAATTCATAAATTATCCTAAGATAACAATTCAACTTCAGCTTGAATATTCTGTCGTGCTTGTTCTTCATATTTTTCACGAAATTCCTTTGTGGCAAAAATATTTGGAATCTGGACAAAGTTCTGCAGAACCTATTTTATAGAATAAACTTATTTAGAGAGTAATATACAATGGATACACATTTATTGAATTGTATTTAATTACCTTTAAACGCAATGCTGTGTACATTGGTTCACTCAGAAAAGAATATTCTCCTCTTATTTTTTCTCTGTATTCCGTATAATTTTCTGGAGAGGAGCCTAACACAGCCATATCCAAATCTAAAAAGTAATGAGCATCTTCACCACCAAAGGCACCACCAATTTTATGTGCATCAGTACTATGCGTTGCAGCTACTTTAAGTAGCTCACAAGCTTCTTCTCTAAGTTGCGCATCCTATGCAAGAAAAATACCACATAAAATTTAGATCTATTGTTCATTCCTCAGATAATCAATAGACAAAATGATAATTACTTCAGGAACTCCAGCTTCATCTATAAATGCATTAAAATGTTCCAAATTCTTGTTTTCACCATCTAAAGCTTTGGGATCATATTCAAAGCTATAACATAATTGAAGTTTATTATCAATTCTATAATCTCAGTTTTATTATATTACTTACTTCTGAAAGAACAAGGCAAGGAGCATAGCTTGAGGGTTCTTTAAGTTGTCTTTAATATCGTAATAACAGTTTAACTTCTCTTGAAGTGAATCCAGATTATGATAAGTACGCTTCTCTTCTGAATAAGCCTCCTGTAGTTTTGTAAACCATGTATCGCAAACTCCGCTATCTAGGTTTTCAGTTGCTTCTTTCCAACTCTCTTCTATAGATGCCATTTTTCTCTAAAATTGTGTTAAATTATGATAAATTGTGTTATTTATGATTTCAATTGAAGAAACAATTTATTATTTATAATTTAGAGGATGATTACTCTTATTAAGAAGGAAGATGGTTTTAGAAACAAAACAGTATTAATTTATTTAATTTCTCATACTCACTGTATATTAAATGAATCAAACACAGTGATAGTTCAACTTAGAGGTGAAAAACAAGAAACTGTGCTTTGGTTGAAATTCTGATTACCGAAACATAATGCGTCGCTGCGGGTGTCTGCTGACTGAGTGGATTTTGCTTGATAAAATAAAGTCCGCTTCCACTTATTGATCGGATTATGTCAGTGTTTTATCAACGAAATACAGCGCGACTTCTAATTACCGTTCTTTCCATAAGGTTTCTTCTTCGATTTTCATAAAGCATCTCATTAGAATGTAATAAATGCGCGAAAATACGAGCAAGAAAGTAAATTTAATTTCTTCTTTGAAAGATAGATTGATTCGCGGCTGGTTGGTAACCCTTTCGATTTTCTCCGTATTCAATAAATAAGTATTGCTTAATGTAATTACACGGTCATGCTGATATTGTCTTCAGTATTTAACAAATGATTAACATGTTTCTATGTTAATAAATCTCTTGAATAGCTCTGATAATAGACAATGTCTTACAGTCGCTAATTTTATTTATCTCAAAGTTTGCCGCCACCGCCAAAGGAACTGATAACGTTTGTGGTGGGCTCACGAAATATGAAAGTTGTACATAATTTAAAAAATGTTTTGTTAGAATTAGAGAGAGAATGCCTGTTACAAAATATGGGTTGTGATGTTTTATTACTTAAAAAATGAATAGTACAGAAGTTTTAATTTGGAAATCATTAGTTTCTTGAGTTATCAGTTGTTTAACCTTTAAAGTTGTATGAGATAACAGGCTGTTATGTGAATAATAATCTACAGAATAATAAATTTTAGTTTTGGAATACTCAGATTGATCATTAGAGTCAATATGAAAGGTATGGTGGAAAATTGGAAGTAATTGGAAGTAAGAAATAAGAACTTATTTCTGGATTTCTCTTCCAAATATATTTTATTTTCTTCAATTACAGACAGAAAAATGGATAGAAACAGTATTATATTAGTCTATGTAGTTTTCATTGGGCCTCTGTCTATTTCATTGTTTTTATATGGGTTTTTTCCTTTGATAAACCATGATAACACTGTAGCAACACAAAACAATATTCCAAAATTTATAGAAAATGTGAGGTGAGTTCTGTGGATTTCATGATAGTTCAGAAATTTCTAGGAGTCATTTGTTTATGATATTTTAATCATACTCAATATATATTTTAGAATAAAGACAGATACATTGTATCAACCTATGGTAAAAAGACTGATTATTATGGTTATTGATGCTTTGAGATGGGATTTTGTAATAGGGCCAGTTGGAAAGTTAGCAATGCCTGTAACAAGTAATCTTATAGCAAATGGTTCTGCATGTTTGTTACAAGCTAAAGTGCAACCACCAACTGTCACAATGCCTAGAATAAAGGTATTGTATTTGAAATAAAATCTATAGCTTCAAAATTACAATATATGAAATAATATTTTATATAATTTAGGCAATTACTACTGGTGTAGTACCCAATTTCATTGATGTAGCTCTAAATTTTGGTAGTAAACCAATTGCTAGTGATAGTATGCTTCTTCAGGCAAAGAGAAATGGTCATAAATTAATATTTTATGGTGACAATACTTGGCTCACTTTGTTTCCTTCTATATTTCATCGTTATGATGGTACTACATCCTTTATTGTAACAGATTTTACTGAGGTATATTGAGCTGTCTTCATTAAACTATCATATAATTATACATAATTCAATAAGAAATTTAAATTCAGGTTGATAATAATGTGACTAGACATTTACACAAAGAATTGTACAATAACAATGACTGGTCCATAATGATTCTTCATTATCTAGGACTTGATCATATTGGTCATGTCCATGGACCATTTAGTCCACTTATTAAAACTAAATTAAAAGAAATGGATGATATAATTGCCAATATTCAATCTCAGATTCAAAGTTGGGTAGGTTTATTATATCTTCTCTAATGATCAGTTTAGTTTTCTGTATTTATAAAAGTAGTATCAATTTGTTAACTTCAGAATCAAAATAATGATTCTTCCTTATTTATTATCTGTGGGGATCATGGGATGAAAGATTCTGGAGGTCATGGTGGATCAACAATATCAGAAACAACTGTTCCTTTCATTGTAATTGGAGGAAACTGCTTTCAAAGTCACAATAGTTTCACAGAAATATCACAAATAGATATTGCATCTACATTGTCTGTTATCTTGGGAATGCCAATACCATTTTCCAACATAGGAACTGTTTTTGTAGATACTTTATATAACTTACCTACTTCCAAAAAGTTATATCTACTTTATTATAATTCCAAGCAAGTGTTCCATCATTTTCAAAAGCTAACTGATTATGAGTCTTTCTGTGAGTAAATCGATTTACGCATACTTTGAAACTTTTTCCGAATGACATTATGCATTTGCATATTATTATAGATGGGTATAAAAAATATCTAGAGGCAGTGAAGCTTCATAATGCTTGGTTAAATACTAAAGACCATCCAAATGACATGACAGATGATATTGCATTGTTATACAAAACAGCACTGAAAGAAATGAAAGAAGTACTCATAAATAGTATGATAAAATATGATTTTCAAATAATAATCATATCCATATTTTTCTTGTGTCATGTAAGAATTAAAATTTAGCTTTGCAACCAACTGTATTTAATTATTACAATACAACAAATTTAATAATCATTTCAGATCACTTGTATCTTGATGGGAAAAATATTTCCTATGGTGGTTAAATTAAAAAGAATTTCATTTTTTATTATTTTAAATATACTTTCAATGGTACTGATAAATCTTATCTGGCAATCTGAAGACATATCATTACTTAATTCAAGGAATCTGACTACTTTCATCGTACTATTGTTTATAGCAACTATTATAATTCTAAATTCTTGTATACTTAGCAATGTCAGATTTCCAACTCTGGAGGTAAAAGACAAATTTAAGCTGTAAATAAAATGATCTATATACATTTTAATAAATTCTTATTTAAAATGTAGAAAATAGGAAATATAACAGGAAAGCATCTGTTTGTATTTGGTTCATTGATACATGCAATTAGTCTTGGTGGTAGTAGCTTTGTGGAAGAGGAGCATCAAACTTGGTATTTCTATTGGGTCACAGTTCTTACCTTATTGCTTTACAACTCCACTACAAAATATCTTTCTGATTTACAATTGTAAGAGAAGCTTTGCTACATCATAAACCAGCAATTTGTTAGAAGTTTAATGCTTGAATATTAAATTGCAGCTACAAAAATTCCCAGCATTTGTATGCACGAAATTGTATTAAGCTTTTTCTGCTACTAGTAGGACACAGGGTACTTAGGAAATTAAATAGCACCGGGGATAAATATGCTCATCTTCCTGATATAGCAGGATTTTTTATAGAGCAGGAAAGCATGCTAGGCATGACTATTGTGCTTGTTGTTGGTAATTAAATCATTATCAAAATTAATAGAACAGGAACTTGTATTCAGATATGTATAATATCTACTGTCTTAGGTCTTACACTTTTAATATGGATTGATTTTGTACACGAAGACCAAGTATACAAACAGCAATCATTAGTGTCTAATATCATAACTAGTTTATGCATTTATCTTCGTCATATGCACAACAATAGTGTTATGAAAATTTCATTTTATCCTTCATCTAGGTAGGTCTGTTACTCAAAAATCAATGAGGATAGTTTGTAGAAGGAAACAATAATCATTTCTTTTCCAGAGGAATATATGAAGTTCAAATTTTCTGGATGTTACTTGCAATTAATTGTGGAAATTATATTTATCGTTCGGTGTTAGCAATCAAACAGGAAAAGACTATTTTTTTAAGAGTCACATTATTTTCTATAGTCCGAATTTGGATTATGATTTCAGCGATGCTACATCAGCCACATAATGTATTGCTTTTGCCATTACAAATCATTTTTAGCAGTGTAATTCGCGATATAATTGAAAATGATACCATGCAAGAAATTAATATATTTCTGTATGCTTGGATTGGCAATGTGTTCTATTTTTATCAGGTAAATGTTGATTAACTAATGGAGTTTCAGTGTTGAGATAGAAAGTGTTTAACGATATGGGTTTTCTTCAGGGAAATTCTAATAGTTTGGCGACTATTAATGTAGCCGCCGGTTACGTTGGTATACAATCTTATATGCCATTTGTTAATGGATCATTGATGTTAATTAATGTTTATTCTGCACCTGTTTTGGCCTATATTTTACTCGTTTATCATTCAATATTACAGTACCCGCACAAGTGAGTACAGTGTTGTACTTTTAAAAGTACTTAAATCTATTTCAATATTACTGTGATGAAAATATAAATTTTGTTTTAGTACACCTGAGATTATTACACGAATTAGTAAAAAGTACATAGGATGGAAATTTGTACCACTGACTATTTATACGATAATAATCAGTATTCAACGTCATCATTTATTCGTTTGGTCGGTATTCTCACCGAAATTATTGTACGAAGCTGTACATTCCACTGTTATTTGTTTCATAGTGTTAATCGTACTAATTTTAATTATATTACAAAAGATAATAAACAATTGTGATAGATGATCTTTCACATAACTTGTTTTATTTTTTTATTTTTAACCAGAATACCATAGTTCTCGACAATAATTAATGATCAAAATTGAAAGAGATATTAAATTTAAATGAAAGATTTATTTTATATTTTTCATTCTTACTTTACAATCATTTACATTTAACTAAATCTTCCCCATAGTTTCTATAAAAGTTAGAAATACAAAAGAATTGTAGTGTACCTAAAATAATCATTTCATCAAAAAAACAAAATGAAATGATTTTTATAAATAAACAAAATTCATGTTCTAAATGTGTTTACTGTTTAACTGTGCATAATTTTAAAGTAATATACAGCGTGCAGGTTGCAATTAAAATTAGAACTGTAAAACTTTAAATAATTGAATTATTAATCAAATAATTTTCAATTATTCAAAGTTGAAATCAGAATTCTACTGATATTCAAATTTTCATAACAGTCCTACTTAAAAAACTTAATTGCATAAAATTGATTTCAATATAATCGAAGGAACAGAATATGCTCTGGATTGAATAAACATTAAAATACTATTGTGAATCGTTCACGTACATCGAAATATCCTGATATTTATCGTATACTAGCATGGTCTTCTATTATACGTTTTAATTTATCATTTCTCTACTTTCAACTACGTACAAATGATACTAGTTTACAAAGCCTAAAACATTCACACAAGACAAACGCTTACTAATCATGCAAAACAGACATTTTAAAGAATCCTGATTTGAAGCATTGTCGTTGAAAATAAATTATATTCTATAGGAACACAATAAAATCAAGAACAATAAAACTTAACAATATATCTGTACATTTTTCCTATGAATAATACTAAAATTGTTAGGTCTAGGCAGCAATAAATTTTTTTTTTATAATACTTCCTCTGTAATTGTTATTTATATAAAGAAATATCAAATGCTAGTGAATAGTTTATGAAACTCTACTGAATTAAATTAGATCAGTAGACATACTTTTTGTTTTCTTTAACAAAAATTCAGAGATCAGAGGCAAGACACATTAAACTCAGACTAAATTATTGCACACTTTTCGTGCACATATGCCTGAAAAATTAAGTACACTGTATCGCCGAAACATGGCATAATGAATATTGCACATTGCAACACACTAACGTCTATAAAATATAAAATCTTATCTTGGTATTATACAAAAATATAAATATTTTGATGTTAATTTTTCGAATAACGAAAAGAACAATTATATGACTTTCAGAGCTATCCTGTTTCGAACATTAAATTCAATCGAGGCAGTAAAATTACCCTTAATTGATTAAGTAGAACATTTAGAAACATTTTGTTTAAACCGTCAAACCATTTACAAGTTACTTGAATATAAATTGATGATCCTACCTTGTAACATTATTCATACACGATTATATTTTCGAGTTGATCAATGTTCAGGGAATTTCATTAATAAATATGTAATAAATTAACGATTTAGATAATTATGCGAGACTTGAGTATTTTAGTTTCCTTCAACTGTCGTCTTATATTTACACACATTTTATCGTTATTTGGCTCTTTTTATCTTTATATCTTTCACTTTTCATCCTTTTTAAGAAATGCCCTCTAAAATGGCGAATTCATCCCTAATTTTGTACCAAATTCTAGCCGTGCCCGTTTCTGATACCTTACGTTCACTCTGAAAAAGATTCAACGATGAATAAAATATTTTATGAGTTTTCAAAACGTTCGTGTACTTACTTAATTTCTTGCCACTTGATTAATTCATTGATCGTGAAGATGAATGGCAAGGAAAGTAAGAAAAATAAAGGAATATGAAGAGGAAAATCTTCGATGTTCTGACCTTCGTCTTTCCAAAATGTGTAAAAGACAGTCCCTGAGAATGCTGCTTGTGCGCATAATCTAAACAACAATTTATAAATATTAATAAACTTTGCTTATTCGCAAAGAGTATGGGAGTGAATTTCTTACTCACGCTATAAATGCACTTAAAAACCACACATAATTATTAAAAGGTTGTTTCTTCCAAATAGAATACTCTCTATGTACAAAGCCTATAGATAAGGTTACTGTGAAGAAAGAGAAATACTAATTATCCATGTTTGCATTCTGATATTAAAATAAAATACATACCCAAATGTAAAACGAACAGTGTCAGAGCAAAATGTTGTATCGTTAAAATAACATTTGGTTTAGCGCCCCAACCACCCCATGTAACTTCTCCACTTATGTTGGGGTACACATACAGGCACTTCGAGTTTGTCGCGTATATAGGGCACAGAGTCAAAAATGACATACATTGCGATAAAACTATCGTTACAATTGTTGGTAAAAATTTACTGCCATAACACCATAAAACGAATAATGCAATCTGGAAAACAATTGAAGTAATTTGAAGGAGGATTCTGATAGAATCGAATGGAAGATTAAGTTCTTCTTTACCCGTCCATTTATGGTGCACTGATTTTTGCCAGTTGCTCGTTGCATTATGGTAGAATCCATAGGCGTGGCGATCAGTGATATGGATAACATTGGAATGATTAAACAACAAAGCCATAATACTTGATCGACGGAAAATAGAGGTGGCAGTAATAAAAAGCCAGACAGAGCTTGAGTTATAGAGAGGGTGACTGTGCAACACAGCCAGAACTGCACGCAATTCCAGAGGCATGTCATGTAATGTCGAGCCTAAATTCAGAATAAATATTCTATTACATCATTTTTTATGGGTATGAGGATGCAGTTTCTAGTTTGAGATAGGCAAGTTCATCCCAGCCTCCATTTAGTTACTCCAATGATAGATTTACCTCCATAATTAAATGGAATATCGCAATTGGATCCTCTCGTTTGACACTCAATGAACAAGCAATGGAATTCAATGCTCTACTCAAATCAACCGGAGATGGTCCTTGATTCTCCCTGGTTGATATCAGCACAGGGACTCTTTGACAAACTTGAGGATACAAAGGTTCCACTGCCACGCTGTAATCAGAATTGATACCGCTTGAATGCTGAAATATTTCATGAAACAATTGCACATGTAACAAATATCATTTGATAGTTCCTTTATATAACCCAAATTTGATAGAAATTAAATTTTTTATACAAATGGAGTTTATCGAAGTTCCTTGTACAAGAGAGATTATAGAGAAACCCAAATCTATATTTCAAGATGAGAAATTATTATATCTTCAACCACCTAAAAGACGTCCTTCGGTGTACAATAGACCTTACAAGAAACCAACTATAAAAGTTGATTATAATACAACATACGGCAGGTCTTACATGAAATTTGATCGTCCCTCTAAATTCAGACTTAATTATGGGATGCATGAGAAAATGTTAGCTAGTAAAACAGCAAAATTTGATTTTGGTACAACGTACAATCTCTCTTATCAAGCCATAAATCGGATAGTGTCAAAAGCATTCGTTCCAAAATCGAGTTTGTCTATAAATGGATCACACGATATGAAAAGTACTAATATGTTATCCTATATGGATCCTGGATATCCGAAAGTTGTACGTTGTAAACCATATCAAGGAAAAGTCTGCTATCCAGTAGCGATGGATTGTAAAACGGTGACCAAGGAATCTTATCAAGATTTTGGACTTGTCCATATAAAAAGACCATCGAAACGAGACTTTTGGAGAACTAAGTTCAAGACGGATTATCACACCACAAATCAATTATCTTATCAGTATACAGGACCCGTATCGAAAAGGAAACAGATGAAACATAGACCAATCATTTCTGCTCAGATTAATAAAGATACGATATATAAGACGAGTTATGAAGCTCCTGGTCGTTTCGTAAACAAGGAAAATACTGTTTCTGTATGAATTTGTATGTAATATATTTTCTTAATTAAATTTTTTTGTTAATTATCACGAAATACGATTTAATATTTTAAGAAAAATTTGAAAATGGTTTTCTAGAATTTTTAAAATTCTATAGGATTTTAGCATAGTACTGAAAGCCTTAAAATAATAATGTAATAATTGATTAATTACCCTGCATCGGCTTGCATAAAAATCGGCATGTTCTCTGCATTGGCTGAAGAGCCAAGTACACAAACGACTTCTCCATAATCTTGCATAATGTGTAACATTTCCCTTGTAACAGCAGTGTTGCAGTCGGTAAATAGAGACACCAAAAGAGGCACATTATCTATCAATTCAATATGTGGTCGAATCTTATCGATGCCTCGAGGTAGTTTTGCCTAAGGAACATATAAAATGTTCATCTAATATTTCAATCCTTTCTTATAAGAGAAACTTACCCTGTTCGAGAGATCAAAATTCACAGGAGCACTTTGCTCTGTGCTGTCTGTAAGACAGCTCAAAGATCGCCATGCTTCTTGTCCAGAACCTAAATCCACACTTTGTACAAGCACGCTGTCTTCACTTCTCACTGTGTCCTGTTCTCTGTTGAAAATCATTTCTCCATTCAACCCTCTATAGTTATATTTCGAAGAAATAATTATTGCAAAAGGCACAATATAAGTTTAACTCTTTATGGTAGTGTAAGAACTAAGAAAATTCCAAAAAAATGTTCCTTGCATATCTACGATTTCTAGATTCTTTAAAATATGGAAATTAAAAAAAATTCAAACTTAATTCATAATTGATAGCAACGAAAGAAAGTCTAATCTACTTAAAAAATGAAAAGTGGAGAACAAAACAATTACGAAAAATGCGACGATCCGTTTCTCGTGATCCTTTGTACTAGATGACTTAGACTGCCATGCAAATTCAAAATAAAATTAAAATGATCAATAATTCATAGATAATGGAATATGAATCGACGTTGAAACAAACCTATGGCTCATGGCACTTTTAACTTGAGATACTCCTGTGTCGTTCCATTCAGTGGTCTCGTCGTCGAATTTAACAGTGGAGAAGTCGGTGTTTATGGCACTTGGTGCTGACATACTCATGGCACGGCTATTGTCCAAATTCGTACTATAATGTAACACAAATTCCACTGTAAAAAAATCGCCTTCCAATGGTTCGTTCATGCATAATATTCTTAGAACACAAACACATCGATGCAGCATATTTATGCAGCAGAAATGTTCGAATAGCATGCTCTTAATATTTTATGTTTAACCCTTTGAACATATTTACTTAAAAAATTTCCTAACAAGTTGTGACCAAAGGGCGTAGATCCACGCCCTGTAAGGCCAGCTGTAGGATCTATCTTCTTCTACCATGTTTAGCAACCCATTGTGAATTTCAAAAGATTGTCATGGGCTCAATATGTTAATTGCTGTATTTATACATAGTGTCCCATGTAACTGGGTCAAGCTAATGCTTTAAATTGGTAGCAAAGGGTTAAACATCGTCTCGAGAAGCGAAAGCACATATCTCAATCGAAACTCGATACGTAGTGATAAATAACGTTGAATGTATTTTAGTGTGTATTCTTTTCGTGTGATAAGAGGATAGTTTGTAACATACCGAGGAGAGACACGATTAAGCAAGTGGCTGGCCTCATCCATGCAGGAGTAATTATGCTGATGAGATTGGGCCGAGGGAGTGGGTGAGGACATGGCTGCTGCCTGGCTCACCCACCAACCCACTGGACTCTCGGACCTAATATTGGCGTGTTAGTTACATACATTTATTTGTGTATATCACGTATGCCATGGTAAATAATTAGATATTAACACATGTGCATAGAATTAATTGTTAGAGTGTAACGCAAGAATAAATGTTGTCGAACGTAGTGTTGTTTGCTAATGAAAGAAGCGTTTGAAACTATATAGAAAGATAAACATGATTAAACAACTACTTAACTGAACGCTCTAAATATCAACGTAGTATAAAGATGGAAATATTCGTAACAAAGATGTTAAAATATCGTATCAATCATTGAAAATAATCAAATAAAAATAAGGGTTGGGGGGGGGGCAAAAGAATCAGATCATTGCATTCTTTTAGAACGTTTAACTCTATGTAAAACGAGGATCATAAGAAAAGAAAAATATTTAAAAAAAAATAGCATAACGAATAAACATGCAAATTAGTAACAGTATTGAAAGAAAGAGGTATAGACAAACATATACGATGGGGTCATGTGTGGATATCTCTCCAGCCATTGCTGTCTCCTGTAATGTACATGCATATTTTACATTCACATCTACAGTTATGACGAATAAGCTAAGTTAAACAGATTTCTTGATATCAGTTAAACACCATTTATTTTAGATTTACAAGAGATTAGATAGAAGAAGACAAAAAAAAGAGAAAGAAACACTAAGAAACGACAAAGTACGAAAAATTCAATCGACGAAGAAGAAGTTATAACACCAACAACATATACGATCAGCATAAACACGATCTTGTGTTTCATATGTTTTTGTACACAAATTTTACACGTATATATATATAGAAAGATAGAATAGAACGTATTTGGAATACTTTCCAACGTGAGGACATGCCCCAAACTTCTCAGATTAATCCAAAAGCAAAAGAAAGCAAAGCAAAGTAGTTTATGAGACATAGATTTGAGGATAGAAGAATGATGATGGTACAGTACCTAGCTCTTTCACTGAGCAACGATATATGACAGTTCCATCCACTTTCCAGTCCCATTTTCTCCGAAAACACGCGGGATCTTAGTTCATTCTCCTTGCTGAAGTGAACGAAACGGATACAGGCTCTGTCAAGTTGTTCTATCAATTGTACCTGTTAAACAATTCATAGAATTCTTCACTATGTTATTTTTTGATGAATTTATTAATACTTGATTAATCTCTTACCATGTCTGTTTGTGCTTGATATTGCATGGTCACCATTCCAATGAACACTTGATTGCATTGAATTTCAAAGCAACTTTCAACGTCGTTCACGCTATCATCTTTGTTCTCATTGCACAATAAGGAATCTGTAAATTTGATGACTTAAAAAGTATTCTGTAACTTTTAGAATTTTTCTAAAAATCTGCTTCTATCTTTCTTCATCTCACTTGTACCATAATACGGTCCACCCTGTATAAACAAGAATATTTCCTTATAACTTACCAGTCGAGTGAAATTGCCCTAGTATGCCTTTCACTCTGGGATCAAGAACATTTCTAAAGTCCCACGGTAATGGCGTAGGACTTCTGTGAGGTGCGTACAAGTGCTTGCTATCTGCTGGAAGTTCGATGTATATCTTGGACATTTTATCCCCGATACCTCGTGTCAGAGGTCTATATGCAAACGCGGTGCAATACGATGTTAGACTTGTTCTCTGATAAAAATCCTGCACCTTTTTCCTGAATGATATCCGCCAAAAATTAAAAAAAAAGATACAGGAATACATATCAATTTTTGGAGTGATTAGTATTACCGTGTACCTGTCTGACGCTGAAAGTGGGCACAGATCATGACCATCCCAAAATTCAATACAAGAGTCTAGAATTATATCAGCTGTACCCTGCGTAAGTAATTGCAAACCACCACCAGTGCGTTCTCTTACCACCACGGCCACCATATGTGGAAAAGGGAACTTTAATTTTGTCGCAATGCTCAAGGATCGTGCGAATTTGATATCACGTCGGACCATTTCTGGTTGCTGTAAAGATTCGTGAAGAATTTTTATTTCGGTCTTCTATGAGCAGGTGTTTAGCGTAAAATTGATTATACTTACCACGTGTCTGAACGTAGACAATTGTTGCTCCAGTTGGAATATATGTTGGGCCTGATCTTGGAAACCTATCTGTTTCGCTAATTCGCATAAACACCTGTACGGATCACATATTAAATATCAATGAAAAGAATATCATCGGTGAGAATAGAAAGAATAGAACAGAAGCGTGAGATTGTCCCATGATTAGCATTCCCATGAATATATTATTAATGCACGCAGAACATGTTCACCCATACAGGTGGATTAATTAATAAAATACGGTGGATACATAAAAATAACTATGGTTGGACTGACCACATTTGCCCAAGGCTCCCCGATTCGTCGTCTAAATACACCTGTCTTGAACTTTGCATTGTATCTTTTGCTCGATACCCACTCTTATCTTCTATACTGTGATCCTGGTAGCTGACAAATGTGTATGATCAACGTTACTGGTAATTGGACGTGTTACCTTTTGGACTTGTCTTAGGAATATGCATACGATTAACTGGATGCGATAAGCTTAACAATCGGGAGAATTAGTTCGAGTAATGCATTAAAAAAGAAAAAAAAAAATGAAACGAATGGGAGGGAGTGAAATGTAGCGTGGCAAAACATAAATAAATAAAAAAAAAAAAAAAAAAAAAAAAATTAAAAACAACGACTTGAATAATGAAATACATACCGTCTGTTAGTGACTGGTACAAGATTTTCATTATACTGAGCTTCACAAGTGACATGGCAACAAAATTGCATGTAATGCTCTTGTGTGTCCATGTTACATGTGTTCAATAGAATTGCTAAACCTAATGGTTTCAATGAGTTCAAATGTTGCCTCCAAGAATGATCATCAAATTGTAGTCGAAATGGTAAAGCATGATCATGAGTTAGGTCCAAGACTTCTGCTGTTGAATGAGATAGATCTGAAAATATAATGATTTTATTTTTCTAAAGGTCTGAATTTAATTTTACAAATTACACAGCTTAACATTTCTTTGCTTCCTTATTACCATGTTGTACGTATGATGTTTTATTCGATTCTTGTTTGGAATCCTCGGTTTGAGTTTGGCATTGAGGTTCAGAAGTTCTGTCTAAACTACCGGTACTATCAAACGATAAAACTTAATTGCAATCTTGTAAATTTAGCATTCGTTATATTTTACGTTTATGTTGTTAAATATTTACCTCGAAGACGGTGATAAGGTATTGGCGTTTCTTAAGAAAAATACTTTCTCAGCTGTTGGATTAGGCCACGATAGAATTCCTTTTTTATCCACACAACATAGTGCCTGGAAATTGAATTATCTTCGTTCATTCTATTGTATCAGGGTGTTGAGTTGTTAAATCATCTATAAAATACCGTGACTGATCCTAGAACGTGTAGAATACTCGCAGATCTAGACATCATGTGCTCTTTACCAAGGAGAATGTTGAAAAAATACTCTTTCAATTCCATCCAATTGTACACCACCTCTGGATGAGTAGGTCCAGAGATGTCTGCATCCTCGAAAGGATCCACAAACTGAAACAATCGTGCTTCCCTAATACTCTGTAAAAGTACATTATCGAGTAGATTTCACCATTCTAAACATATATTAACCTGTAGCTTTTTCGAAGATTGATAAAGTTTGAACAGAGCCTTGAATCGGGCCATACCGAAGCAATTCAAAAAGATCCAACAAATAGGAAATATTAATGGAAGCAAAGGAAGACTAACGGCGATCGGTTGTAACAAGAACATCTCGTTCCAGTAACCAATACCAAAGTATTCCCACAGATACAAGTATCGAAACAAATTAACAACTAAGACTATTATTAAAAGAACTGGATAAGCTAATTGTTCGATACAACAGATCATTAAGAGATGTCGTTTGCGATTGTGATAGGTGACCGGTCTATCTAGGGCCTGATCAAGAGCCATTCTCAGGTTCATCAAGTAGGGTGTTTCTTGAAGTTTGTAGATTTTATTCTTCAGAGGTATTCGTCCTTGAGGAGTAGAAAAAATTTCATTAGCACTGTGAACCTGTGGACTGTATACTTCTCTTGCATGCAATACAGGTGCTTCAGGATTCTGTAATTATTTCATATTGTTAATGTTTCCTTTTAAATGATCTATCAAACTTACATTGTAAGGAATACAGTATCCAGGAGCTTGTTGTCCAGGTTTCATCACGATTATATCTCCAGCAACCAATAGTGCCCAGGGCAAATTAACTATGTGACCATCGCGATAAGTCCATTGTAAAGTTAAACAAGGAGACAACGGGCTACATAAATGTGGATAATTTTCGGTGTCCCATTGGCAAATATTTTTTGCCTCTGAAAGGAATGCTCAATGATTGCATGAAAGCGATTTTAAGCTTTATAAAATTTAGATTGTTTGAATACCTTCTAATTGGTCGAGAAGAATTCGTACTCTATGAGGAATCTCTTCGTGTCGTAATTTATTATCCGATACGACTAAAATAAAATTTATCACTACTAAACAACAGACAGTCAGTCCTTCGTAAGGCAGTGTAGGGTACCTATAATAATTCAAACAATTATATTTTGTACATTCAGGTTTTCTTTTAAATTTTGTTGCTTTGAAGATTCTTGTCAGTCTTGAAGAATCTTCCAGTTTAGTAACTTGAATACACATAGTGCAACTATTAGCATTATTTGTGAATAAAGTAGTTAGTTCATACCATGTATCATTGATTGTAAAGGATGCAATAACAAGGATAATGCTATTGATCAAAAGTGCAATTGCTGAAGTCCAACAGAGAGTTGTGTACTGACTACGGTGGTGTGAAGTATCCTTTAGCCAAGCTTTATATTTTCTGTGCATAATATACATAGTATAAATTAAGAAACCTTCTTTCTTCAGTATATTAATAAGAAGTAACAAAATTACTTGTTCCTTTTGCATTCTTCTTCATATTCCTGTAGAACTCTTTTGATATCACGTTGTAAGGTTTCAAGAGCAGTATTCGTACTTAATCCCAATGGTTCCTCAAATTTATTGTTAGGATTTTCACTTTTTTTGGAAGCATTGTCCTTTGCCCGATCACTGTCCATATTCTGTATAATGAAGTTATTAATCTTTATATGGTTCATTACATAGCATTCACAAAGATACAATACTTTAAATAGTTTATTCTTGTCTCAAATCATAATACTTTTCAGATACATCTATATACATAAAAGAAATATACAATAGGGAATCTGTAGTCAGTTAAACAATAATATTCCTTTACAATTAATGCAAATTATATAAGCAGAGTAAACAGATACAAGCATAAATAGTTTCTAATAATCTATAATGTTTAACTTAAATTTTGATGATAAAACATGCATTTTATTCCCAAATTTATTTTTCTGATATTATACCCAAAGCAACAACAGTGTATTCTGATAATTATCATCCAAACCATAAGATAATGAATAAGGAAGAACATAAATTAACCAAAGTTAAGCAATACATGATACTCTTTATTATGCCACAAGTATAGGTATAGGAGAATCAAATAAATAAGGAGAAAACGATGCAAATATGAATTTATTAATATAAATCAGTGTTTGCAGGGCAAAAAGCAAATCAAAACAAACGGAGCTAGGTTAAAAATGTATTAAAACTTGCATAATTCGATGAACGAATCTATTAATGTACCGTTTATGTTGATCGTACTTGAAGTACAAATTAATGTTTCAAAGCTCGGTTGTATGTCGGATAACTAAAAATAATGGGAAATGTCTCATAATTGCAATTGACCTAAATCAGAACGGTGAATGCATATTCGGATGGATTCACATCACAAACACATAAGTTTATCACATGACGCAGTACTGACGACTGCTGCCGCGACTATATAGCTTTTTTGTCTTTTTTCCCGGCATAGTTTTGTTATGTTATCTTTTATAACTTGAAAATTATATACCATATTCTTGTATAACGCAATGCACAAAAGTAATAGACAAAATATAGCGGAGTGCCAGCACTCGTGTTTATAGTGTTTACAGGGTTCTAACATAACCTATATAAGATACAATGGATTTATTGTATACTGTAAATAGAAAAGTGGCACCAAAACCATTTATAAATCAGGAAAGGTATGGAATTGTCTTTATCATATTTGTACCATTCTGATGTAATATTGAGAATAGATCTTGTATATACATTTTCATAACTTCTCATTCAAGTTCATATATAATGAATGCATAGGATATCAATGGAAATTTGTTTATTTTTTTAATATACATATTAGTATTTTTTATTTACTGTTTATTTGATAGCTCATTTATTAGTTCAGCATCAGTCTTTCCGTGAATTTTAAATATGCTTTTATCACACGTAAGTGCAAGAATGTGTTTCTTAAATATAATCGTTCAATGTTTATGCAGTAATCAAATTTTTAGCCTGTATGAGGGACAATCTTTATGCTCACTATCTAGCCGTAATATAGCAGCATTTACTACAACTACAGAATTAGATGATAACAGTGGGAAAACATGGGGTTCTCATGTTTATGTATGCGATTTAAATATGCCTTGGCATACCCACAAGTAAGAAATATCTCCAAATAGTTTCTTTATCTATTTGAGGTATTTTCTACAAGGTCTAATATTATTTATATCATTAGGGTATTGTCAAATAAGAATACTATTACTGCAATAGAATGGGATTTACCAGGTGATAAATTAGTTATTGCTGATTCAACTGGGCATGTACAATTATGGATGTTGAAAGATCATGTCCTTAATGACTGGGTATTAATTGGTTCCACTTGTTTTGTTGGTGAGCATATATTAGGTGCAGCTTGGTTTCATAATGGGAAAAAGGTAGTTACAACTAATGTTAAAGAATTATTTAACATTAGGGAATCGAATGTATAGGAAGGAATTATTATTTCAGATTGGTCTTGTAACAGAGAAAAAAGATAGTATTCATTACAGTGAAAAATTCAATCACTTGCCTTTTGCTCCTTCAGTCAGACAATTTGGTGGAAGGGCTGCTGAGGGTGTATTAGTTGTCTCAACCACTGGCATGGTTGGAGCAATTATGATCACAAAAGATTTTCAAAACCCTATCTGTTCTTCGACAGAAAGTTTAGGCAGTATAAGGCATAGGATAACAGCAGTTGATCTGTGTTACGGGAAAAGTATATAAACACAAATTTCTATTAAACTAGTTGTTTAAACAAACTCAAATCAGCTGATACGAAATTTCATAAAATTTTAGATGGTCATATTTTGGTCGCTGTAAGCAGCGGTAATATTTGCTTACCAATCAGGTGTTACAGAGTATTAGTCCGTAAAAATGACGATAAATGTACCATTACATCTCAAGCACTTCCAAGTTTCTTTCTACAGGATGGTGTACCAAAGGACAATACATGTAGAGTCAAATAATTTTCTATTCTTCTAGCATCTACAATTGTTAGGCACTAAAATAATAGACAATTATTTTCATAGATACAAGTGTGACACACTTAAAGTTCGTAGTTCGAGAAGATGCAGATTCTTTAGTTGTTGCTGTTAATAGTGATAGTGGAGGTATCGTAGAGGTATGGGAATTGAGGGAAAAGTCACAACCAGTTCACAAGTTGTTTCAGCCAAAAACATTAGAACCATTTAAAACAGTTGTGGTAGGTGTTCAAATAAGACGAAAACAATTGAATGAAAATTTTAAAGTATCATGTTTATTATACATATATTCATAGGTTTGGCAGCATCAATCACAGTACCGTTGTCAATCACCGATAACAGCGATAGCAACAACAAAATTACCTATAGTCACCACATCGCCTCTTCCAAGTTACGTTGTAGTAGCTTTGGCAGATTCGTCAGTGCATTGTTTAAGCCGTGATTGCCTAAAAGAAATAGCCTTATCGTTCTTAAATATGGCATGGAGGCCCGAGGAACCTAACAATAAATACTTTAAGAGTTCAGTTTCCGTAACGAGTATAGACTTATCGTGGCTAGGTTGCGTACTTCTAGCTTGCGATACCCGTGGAAACTTGTATCTGTACAAATTACTACCCGATGGAGGTAATTTTATTTCCGGAAAGGAAATTACCTCTGAACACAACTAATCAATTATCCTTACAGGACCATCGTTGGCATTAAGCTACGCTTGTACATTGTTGGAATATTGTTTAGTAACAGGATTAGACTGGTTAGATGTGCTTTTGTGTCTAAGATCATCGATGATCGAGCCATTATGCGAAAGACTGGATGTTTCTTTCAATAGACAATTACAACCGATACAACAGTACCATTATATTCAGTTTCTGTGTATAAAAACATCATTATACAGGTTTGTTATTGTCTAAAAAAGGAACGTAAATGAGATACAATCTGCTATGTTCAAAAAAAAAAATATTTACTTTTAGAATGTTAGTATCAGGACAGAGTAAAGCAGCAGATTTATCGTCGTTGCTTATGATTCATTCTGTAGCTACAGCTTTTAAGTCATTATTAAGGCCGTCAGATTTAATTTCCCATGATAAGGAACCAGCAGAAAGTTTGGCAACAGTAATTAATGACGCGATTACTGATGTGGATAAGGTGAAAATTCATTTTCTTCAAATAGAATATGAATTAATAGAGCCATCCTCGTGATATATAATTATTTGATATGCCAGGTACTTTTGCATCTTGATCCAAAAGAATTCACCGTCGAACCAAGTACACTACAATCGTTGCAACAATTGATTCAATGGGTCGCCGATTTGGCATTGAATCTTTTAGCTCGTCTTCCGGAACAACGATTGCAAATGAAGTCAGGCGGTGTTAGTATTAAATACTATTAATTATTATCTAGGACAATGCAGTTGTATTATATTTTTTGTTTCTTTTTTACTCCACAACTCAGTATGAACTCTTGAAGGATCACAAGGCCTTAAATACATTGAGGGAATTGCTCGTGATCATACGTATATGGGGTTTATTGCGACCCTCGTGTTTACCAGTATTTCTTCGCAGTGCTGATAACCTCGATGTATTGGCTCTGTTGTTCCGTTTATTATCAAAATTGGTTCAACCGAACGGAGATACTCAGTCTCAGCAGGTTGATGATGGTTTAATTGGTAAGTTTTTCTGTGTTTATTATATAGAGTAAGAGGGAAACAGGTCAAACTTCGGTAGTATATTTTAATACTTCTGAGGATGAAAAAAAAAAAAGGTCGTATAATTATATTTTTATTTCTGATGGAAACTTAGTACTCTTGGATTCCTGATGGAAACTTAATACTCTGATGGCTTCTATTATGATTTTGATATTTCATTTTTTATGCCATTATTCTTTAGTTCACTAATTATATGAAATAATATAAATTAAGAATGGGGAATCATTTGTGTATAACACTACTGAATAATCATTTAAATTTTATCGTAATACGTTGGTTACTGAGGAAGTAAGATAAAACACCACTTCCTTGTGTGTTGAACAGGAATCACAGATTTTTTCCTTCGTTAGTATTGAATATGAGCTAGAGAATATCGCAAGGTTGCTAAAGTGTAGTGAAAAAGTATTTTATATAATTATATTTTGAAAATGACCGAAAAGCTTGCTGTTAAACATAAGAATTCATTGGCTTTAACTAAGCACAAGTTATTGCACCAAGGTAGTGGTAGAAAAAGATGTTGTTCGTGTTCGAAACCGAACAAACTTGCTATATTTTCTATCATAACGTGTTGTATCTTCGTTGTTTATTGGATCATATTAACACCTCTGTTGTTCAACCTTCCTCATAATTCATCCTCGCAATGGTCTCCCGTTTGGTTTGTCTTGTATTGGTTCCTGGCGTTCTTAGTTTGGCTCTTTATTATGTTATGTATCATAGTAATTTGGAAGTGCTTCGATTCTAAACACGATGATATGAAATTACAATCATACGGCACGAATGGTTCCTCAAAACCGGCACTCTTAACCGATAGCGTAAAATTGAGAGACATAAAACAAGATGATGAATATTTGAATGATTTACGTCCTGATAAAAATGAAATTGTTCATGATCAAAAAGACACAAATATTGTTGAAGAACCTCATGATAAAATCAAGAAACACAAAGATCTTCCTCCTCTCGTAATTCATCGTCGTAATTTGGGAAATGATATCGAATGTGCTGGTACAGTGAGTATAGAAAAGATTGATGAAAATGAAGATGAAAATATATCGAAATCAGAAGTCAGTAGTCTGAAGGAACAAAGAGAATCTATGAAAAGTTACTTAAAGTTAGTAACAGTTACTCCTCAGGATGAAATAGATACCAAGTCTCCAAAAGCATTGCTCTCACCGAGAGAATTATTTTTTATTGATCTTATAAGAGAAGCAGAGAAGGCTGAGCAAAGTAGAGGGAATAATCCTGCAGTTACAGAAAGGAAACATTTCTTTCCGAATGATTTTCCTTCAGCTCATAAAAACGTCGTTAAAAGAGATTTGAATGAGAGGAAAGATTCAGCTGAAGCTTCAGATAAAGAACGCGAAACAAGCTATTTTATCGCGGACATAGGAAGTCCAAAAAGTGAAAAAGCAGAAGTATTTTTAGAGATCAAACCAGACTCAGAATTAGCTAATCAATGGATTGTGAATTTAAATGATGAGAAGCCAGTACTCATATTAGAAAATAGTGTTAATAACGAAAATACCGAGGAAAAAGTTGTTTTATTCGAAGTTTAATTTAAAAATATCTTCTATTTTGATAAAATATTAGAACTTTTAATTATTATTATAAGGAATTATCATTAAGTATCACATAAGTCATTGTAATTCAATAGTGACTAGTGACTGTAAAATAAGTAATTATGAAGAAGAAAATTCACAGAAGTTTGGTTGGAGAGAAGTATGAAATATTTTTAATTGAATATATGCAATGTCAATGACTTTCTTCCAGATGATTGTTGCCTGTTACCAAATCAAATTATGATACCACAATTGCACCAGGGTAGTAGCATTATGGCTATAGCTACTCCTATACTTTTTTATCAAAGTTTTCCGTTACAGGTAAAGACTCCCATTCATCGATCTGTATAATTTATTGTTAACTTTTGTGGGGACAAACAGGTACACATTTTACATTAATTTTGCAAAGAATTTTCATTCCAAATTTAAAGAGTTATTATTAATTAGCAGTCTATCATTCTTTTTTTTTCTTCTGGATCGAATTCATGACATAAAAATTTCTCGAAATAGTACATATAGTATATCAATTTGTAGCTTAAAGTTTGACAAAAAAATAATGATATAAACGTTTCATCGATGCTTTTAATTTTCCACTTGATTTTTAAGAGTTGAAAGAAATGGGTACCTGGTCGTTTACACATGGATTAAATGTGTGCTGATTATTTCTGATTATATATAATTATAGCTGGAATATGGCATTGAACCTGAACAATTATTATTTGTACCTGAACTTAATCCAGTTGAAGGTTGCATGCATACTGGACAGATCGTAGATGGTATTAGACATTTGTATCTCGGAAAACAACCACTTCTTGTTAAACAATGTACAAGGTAATATAAATATAAAAAAATTCATTTCAATAGGAGGATCATACAAAAGTTCGGGATTTTATACTAAATTTTTTTTTATTATAACATAATTTTTTGACAAAATTTAGGTGCGGTGGAAAAGCTCAAGTTCAAAATATGACCAGAACAGCCGCGATCAGAGCATGGGATCAACGATGGGTACGAGCATGTCGTTGTGGTGGTATTTGGCGAATTCATAAAACTTGTCCATAACTCATTCACTGGAAGTAGTGTATTGATGAATTTTATGTTACAGTAATTGTAATTGCAATTTTGTACATTATGAAACAAATAACATTAAAGGTTTTTTAAAATTTAACGTACAATCAAATTGGTTTTTTTTATCTCCTTATTAAATAATATGTAATCCAAAGAGATTCATTGAATCATACAAATGTTAATTTAATCATTCATTTATTTATTATGCGTGTAACAATTGTAAATGTTCGTTATTTTCACTTTTGCATTTAGCAAGATTTTTTATCAACCAAACGTATATGTATAAATTATTTGCATATTTTTTATATTGTTCAAATGAACATTGTGTCATACAAAAGAAATATTCATAATCACTATTTGCTACGATTTATTTTACAGGATCTCGATAATGGACTTTATAAATTGTACCGTATTTCTTACAAAATTACGTACACGTTTAAATTTAATAAATTTTTAATACCAACGAAACTTTCAATTAATAATCAAACGTTTTATATGTACAGTTTAAATACATTGTTTCGTAATTACAGAGATCCTGGATACATAACGAAAAACAAGAATTATAAAAAAGTTTTTACTTTCGTATCATTTCCGTCAAATATAATGACCATGGAAAGTTTATTTGACATAAGATACTCTTTCACAATTCATTATACAATAAGCAATTGGATGTTAATGACTCTCTCCTTCTCTATTGACCACCTTCTTGAATTCTCCCATGTTTGTTGTTGAAATTGGTGAACCAATTACAGCTAAATGGTCGATCCTTGTCGTCTCACTACCACTTTGATTGTCTTTTACAAAGATCTGTAGATTCTGCACATTTTGAAATTTCACATAGCGCAGAGGAATTGGGTTACCTTCTTCGATATCTTTCGCTGATAAACTGTAAAATACAATGACCAAAATTAGACAAAATTCGCTGAACTCTATTGCTTAAGTTGGAATGAAATTGATCCTTACGTTAAGTCTTGAACACTTGTATTAGAATCCGCCATATCGAAGTCAATCGTTCTAGGTTGATTGATATACAATTTGATAGTTTTTGGTCCTTTGTCTTCGGGAGCTTTGATCTTCAAAGAATGTACTTTGACTACTTGTGAAAACGCGATGCATAATATCAGCTGTTCGTCGCAATCGCTTTCCAGGTATCCCTCGTCGGTGCTCAAACATTGCAAAAAGTTGTGCTCGTCCGACTCATTTAAACACTCGCACTGTGTTTTGGTAATAAACGTTGATAGATCCATCTGTAAAAAGTATAATTAGAAACCTCTGAAATATTTTCAGAAAGTACTCTTTGCTTACAGCTTTATACGCAATAAAGTTGGGTACAAACATCCAGGGAATTATGTGTAAATATGAATAAAATTATCTAGATGAAATGTAAATATTTCATACTTTGATGCATACACATTTCGTGTATGTTACTAATGATATATCGAAACATGTTTCTGAGCAATATAAAAAGCTATAAAATCATAAACACATGCAATCCATATAAAAATACAATATACATCGTATATTTAATTAAACTTGTTTGAATGAAAGTGTTATGATAATATTAATATCCACTGAAACAAAGTTACCACAACTTTCTTATTGGTACTTTTTGTTAGTACAGAACTGCAGCAAGAAATATCATTCCAATTATATGGTAATAAAACATTATCACTACTTCGTACATGTCCAGACACTGGACTCTCAGAATCCTCTGACTCTCCATTGCCATAAAACTGTTGAATTTTTGATTCTAGTCCAGCCGGGTCGGACTCATGATACAGTCCCAACTTTTTTTTGTTGCGATAAAATAAAAATGTAGGCACTCCATTGACTCCTTGCATAGCAGCAGTCGCTACACACTTGTCTATATCAACTTTAAGGAATACTGCATTTGAATATTTCACTGATAGTTGCTCAAACACCGGTGCAATTATATCGCAAAGACCACACCTATAGATTATAACATTAACAAAGGAACATATTTGTAAACAATGTATCCTCAATGAATGTTATACAGATTACATTATTATAGCTCCAGGTACAAATAATTTTGAAATACATAATCTAGGTATAATACCTATGAAATACCACAAAGAAGATTAAACTATATTTCATTGGATTTCATAAGATGATTAAATTTCTACATAGCATTGATTGTGATTGAGATGAAACAATTAGAGAAAGTATAAAACTAGCAGTTAGAAATTATATTAGGGTGCACAGGTAATCTAATTGTGCAATAATTGTAGAATTTCTAAACTCTCTCCCTATAACCATACACAGCTTACCATGTTGCTGTAAAATCTACTACAACCAATTTTGTACCAGCACTAGCTATTTCCCCATAAAAGTGGCCATCGTCGTTAATCACACGTACTGCTCCCATTGTTTCTTTCTGTTGATCTAATACAACATGAATAAATAAAACACGCGCAAAATACGTGTCTCCAAATATTGAATGACTGGCACTTTCAATGTAAAGAACCCGGTATTCAAATACGTTTAACTTTATGTCTAACTTACATTGATATTTTTTCAGGATACGGATTGGATAATCAGCAGTATGAAACCAGCTCGTATGCAAGCCAACTGGACAAAAATAGAAATGCGGTTTGCTGTTGAATCTACATGGAAATTGGGCTGCAGTTTCACGCGGCAATTATGGAGATCATCTATAACGGAGTGGAGCAACGTTATTTTTTTATCAAATACATGAAAAGTGGCAACTATTCGGTGAGTGAAAAATAATATTTACTTTTAAAACATTATTCACAACAATTTGCAATAATTTGCAGTTTGATTTAACATGTATTTGTTGAGAAATTATTATTTATGTGTCGACTGCGTTGTACAATTTAATTGGTCTAACTATATTGCACATGAGAAGTTTAAACGCAAATAATCATGTTCATAATTATGTTTTATCTTAATTGAATATAATCAAATAATCAATTATACATTAATTGAGATTTTAACGTGGATTTTAATTCAATTCTTTAGTTTAGATTTGATTTTTGTGAATATTGTTTATAAATACAGGCGGGAGTCAATAATACTCGTACAAATCGATATTTGATCAATGTTTAATGTTAGCATTAATCAAACAAATATTTCATTTAATTTTAAGAAACGGCATAATTTTCTTCCGGCTCCGAATTTTGTTCCTAAGTAAATTTTACAGTTGGGGCAATAATGTGTTGTATCTTTGAATTCATCAGTGCAATATGGTAGCATACATAGACTGCAACATAAAATTTTAATATTTTTATTAAAATATCAATACTTCGAATGCCGCGAGGACTATCGATGATCTCTATCATGAATTTAATATAATTGGATGACTAAAACAAAAAAAATTATTTATTGCATTAATATTATATTAATTTTATAAGACAGTAAGTGGAAAGTATAAATTGAAGAATAAAAAGATCGCTCTTACTGTGGCATTTAATTCGTTAAAAATTAATTAATAACTCAGTTTAGTGTCAAATATTTCATGATCTTAGAAAAATGATTTACTTCTTTACTAACCAAACAGGAAATAAACAAGCAGCTACAGAATGTGTTACAAGAGTATTGTGAATGCGCGTGTCGGTGATGATATAACTTAAACAATTTGGACACGTCATTTTGTAGGGATATTTATCGAAATCAGTATGTTCTATGAATAAAATATTTTATTTACTATTAATCTTCGTAAGCAAAGATAAAATAATTTTAATTTCTATCCACTTACCTCTTGTTACACGAGGATGTTTTTGTAAAATTGCAGTTAATGGCTTTTTACTGGATTTTATGACATTTTTTATGTTGAATTTTGGTTGCAAACGTCGTTTTCTGTTTATTTTTATATATCCTGATGAATAATACTTTATATTAACGTTGGTGTAGTCCGCAGAGATAGGAAAAACGTCTTAAAAACAAGGATTTTAATTTTTTACTTCGATGAAATTACTGCAGTTTAAAATGTAATTATTTTAATTACACATACGTAGAACATTTGACTTCTCAAAACGCGCTTCATGCATATTATAAAATAATTCATTGTTTTTTGATAAGCATTCAACTTTGAATATTCTTTTTCTTGATTTTCATTTCAAATTATATTTTGAATGTTGAGATATCCTCGGAGGTCTATAAATTTCTTCACGATTTGCAGTAGTTCGGAAAAAATAAATTATTTTTGTTGCAGTATGTAAGTACGATCATGTTAGCTGTCCAGTCAAACAATTGTTTCACAATTACACGCGAGAATGTATTACCGAATATATTCATTTCGAATAGCGATTTTAACCTTTTAACCTTTTAACTGTCTTCCATGCTGCGCGTTTATTTAAAATTGTTTGAACAATATTCAGCTATAAATAATGCGCGATTCGCTAAAATTCTTTTTTGAATTTGTCGATGTTCAATACTCGAATTTAAGCCAGTTATCAACATAAAACGTGAAAATTATGGGGAAAATAAATATAAAAATATTATATATTTTTATACGCAGAATAATCCGTTGAATTGATTTATGCAAAGCGATTATACAGCTCCATTCAAAAAAGAATGCAGTTGCACTAATGCACGAAAATGCATATAATTTTGTTTCTTCAAATCTTTTTTATTTTTAAACATTTTTAAAATAGAAAGCTTAATTTAATTAGATAAAATATAATTTCATTCAAAAAAAAGAATGTGGTTGCACTTTGCAGCTGCACCAATGCACAAAAGTGCATAAATATGGAACGTATTATACCATATAATTTTGTCTATTTAAATTCTTTCTATCTTTAAATATCTTTAAGATATTAAGCTTCATTTAATTAGGTGAAATATCATTTCATTTAAAAAAAGAATGCAGTTGCACTTTGCAACTGCACCAATGCAGAAAAGTGCATAAAAATGCATACACTAGTATTGAACAGGGAATTGTATTATCAGGCTAGGTACAGGAAGATGAGATGTGATGATAGTACAAAATTCGCAGGGATACGGCGAATGAAGCAGGAAGCGAGGACGAACACAGGTTGGAAAACGATGAAACGGTACCATTGTCTGACGGGGCTGATTGTCAAACCGTTGGGATAATGTGGCTTTCAAAGGAAGCTTGATACTTGACCTCGTAATAATCAATGCTCGACTCACCTAGCGGGTTAATTTTACTAACACTCGTCGAAATTGCCGCCTTCACCGAATCCCTGGGAATCAATTAGGTAGAGAATTGTCGTTCGATCAAGTAGCCTCTGCACTGAGCGAAGTTCTTCCAATTTTCTCGGTGGTTTCTCGAAAGAGGAAATCATGCTACCATTAAATGGTAAAATTTCACCTTTCGATCTTTCATTTCTTCACTATCAATTAATCTTTCATCGTTATTCGAGTATGAACGATCGAAACTTAATCGTTCCCTCAATTAAGATCACCCTGTGCCATCTGAGGATAGGTAAATCCCATTTAAAGGATCTAAGACCAAAATAAGAAAATTTAATTTTTGCAACACGTTAGAGCGTCAACATCCCAAAAACGCATCGTGCTCGTTTTTTCTGACGATTCTTGGTGTTTTGTAATTAACTCATAATATATATAAGAAAGTTGAAGTGTCGTTGGTGTATTAAATAAGTAGAACGAGGGGAAGGGTGGTATCCAGCTAAGAGAAAACCATTGTCTGGGGAACGTGAACACTATTTGCTGGTAAAGTAGATTAGGTTGGTATTGATAGAGAGAAAGAGGGAGAGAGAGTTTGGAATGGATAAGGATAAGAGAGTGAATATAAGTTAGAGGAAGAAAGAGAGTATGTGTAAAAGGAAGAGCTAGAGAGAGAGAGAGATGGATCGGGTGAAACGAAGGAACATGACGAGAAGAGAGGGTTGAGAGAACAGTTGTGTTCTCAGAGAAAGGCCAATATAGACGCTCGAGATGGGATATAGCAATAGAATTTCGCTTACGAGGTATAACCGCGTTAGACGATGCCCTTTGTTGTATCAGTGCGCAATTGCCTTAAGTTCTGATCTTGTCCGATATTGATGTTCGAGAGGCCGGTGAAACCTCCGATAGGATACTAAGAGTTTCTATTCGCCTTTAACCATTTCTCCACCGAGTCTATGGTCAGTTCACCAATGAATTTTACCTTCTTCTCTTACCTTCAACAATCTTCGGTAAATCAAATTTCATCTCTGCCCAGATAGTATTTGGCTGGGAACTGGAGTGTCCTGATGAAAATTAAGAGGCACAATTAACTTTCATTATTTCAACTGATTCTAATTGGAAATCATGGTATTGAAAACCCTATTATAGGTTTTCGATAGGTAAATTGTTAAAATTCTTTTCAATGGCATATGTTTTTTAAAGCATCTTTAAATGTTGACTGAAATTGAAGCTTTAATAAGTACGTTTAGCAACCGGTTGAAACAATTTCAATTGCTAAGCTGATCCGTACATCGTGTTTCGTTATTATATATATGTTCATAGACTTCACTTCTATGTGTATACAGAAATTGTAATTTCACGGAGCATTTCCTGAATAAGTAGAAATGTAGAATCCCGGAAGTTGGAATGTTGTAATTGAAGTACATTCAAAGTAGGGAACATCGTTATGTTACACGTACACACGAACACACAGGGATCCCAAGGGAACTCCTACTAATTCTCTACCTCTAACTTCATGCCGTCTTATCTGGCATTTTAGGTTAAACTAGGAACCAGAATAGAAATGCTAGACAGTTCGATATTGGAGCATAATGCTCTATTTAATTAGGTGTCATCGCAACAGCTTCCATAGTTCTCTCGTTTCCTTTTCACTCCGCCTTTGCTTCCCTCTCTATCTCATCTTCCTACACAGGCAAACCGAAATTTCGGTTTTCATTTTGGGATACTTACAAAATATTTTTTCATACGTACAGTAATTATAACTTAAGTGGAATAGATAATTAATTAGACTACGAACAGAGTAATGATATTTCTAATTAATCCTTAAGCGATTTAATTTGATTACTAGGATGGAATAAAAATAAATTAATTAATTTTTAAACAAATTTTATTTTGCATGTAGAAATTACACTGCATACCAGTGTATCAGAATAAGCGGTCTGAAACCTTTTATCGAGCATTTCATTCGTAAATACCGATTCGATTTGGTTAAATAAACACGCGGAAAGGACAACATTGTTTTGTGCTATCGGCGATTCGCGGTTGCAACGCGTTTCTGTACCGTACAACCATGTTGTGGGCGTAATTTAGTAATGAATACGTATGCGCACGTGAAGTGGTACCTGCTGATATGTAGGTACGTAACATCTGGCGGCCTATGAAATGCAGGACTGAGCAGTCTGCAGTTGAACGTTACGACCAGCAAGAGTTATGAGCCTCAACTCAATCTCCGACTCTGCTCCTGCCTCGATATAATTGCGATACTAAAATCCATGAAACTTTCAAAACATCTCGTTCCTCCTAATCCTTCGTTTTTTTCATTCGAAAATATTTTGTTTATACAACAAAATTTTGTGCCATCTTTTAGTTACCGCTATTCAAGGTGTGGGTGGATTAGATTTTATTAAATTTTATCTTGTAATTTAAGATTTTTCTCAGATAATAATCTCAAAATAAATTTTTATCTGTGGTCAGATCGTAGTCTGAAATGCAAATTCAATTGCTTGGTTTTTATACGTATTCCGCATTGAGAAGTTTTCTTGAGAAAATATCAATTTAAATAAAATTTAAGAGGCACGTGATCTATATTCTTGGATATGTATCCTTAAAGACCCGAATGTCTATACGTCGAAATATCTTTAATACATCTCAGTCTCGTATTCAGTCGGCTAATTAAATAGCTGCACTTATCTGAAAGAGAAGTAAATTTAGTATGCGGCAACGGTCTGATTCGCGCCATTTGTCGAATGAAAAAGTTTTCGAGCCGAGCAGCTATCGTTTGTATAAAAATCTCTGCGTTTGTAAGGCTCTTTTCGTCGAGCTCGTCGACTCCGCCGAACAGATTTCCGTGTTTCGACCGTTTCTTCTTTCACGTAGAACGATTTTCCCGGTTAGCTTCTTTTTTCTCCTTCGCTTTAAAGTATCTTTTCGACGTGTAGCTTAAATTCATATTTTGTTTGATATGTAACGTTCCTTTCAGTCGAAGTCTTTGAAATTTCCCTGTAATTATGATTAAACACTGTAATACTTTAGACATGTATAAAGAATACAAATTCTCTTTTCTTTTAACTATGTTTCTTCTAAAATTTTCATCAATAATAGTTTAGTAATTAATCTTTCTCGTGGGTGTTCGTTTAAATGTTTGCAACGACAGTGTACAACGTTTGAAAATTTAATTATTAGTTTTATTATTACTGCATCATATTCAGTAATATAATACCTAAAATTATTTACAACATGAATAATTTCCAAAATTATTTCAATATTTGTAATATGATCTTTAAATTGTAAATGTATTTGAAATCTAATTAAGAATACATGTGAAAATTCATTGTTCAATTTGACTTGATTGTGAGAATACTAAACATCATTACTGTTACACAATGAAGATTATAATGAATGTGTAGTGCATTGAAATATTAATGCCACTGTACGAAATTCTATGGAAATTCGTTATTAGAATACTAAATTGGTAGTGGCTTCATGAAATATTTGTGTAAATGTTTATTACAATGTTATAGATAACAGAATTCAACAATTAATTACCGTTTTTATGTTTTGCAAATTAAATTTCTACTTTGACATTATCTTAATTTATAAAATAAAAAATGAACGCAGGTCAATTGTTATCGTTTTCTGTATTTTGAGCTACTTCTATTACTGAAGGTATTATCGATTATTAATCTTCCAATTATTGGCAATTTCCACGGAACGCATCATTGATTATCGGAATGATGATATGACTTGATGATCGCGGTATGGGGTTAACTGAGCAGGAAAACGTGAGATGTATCGATAGGATAGAAGAACCAGCTCCCTTTTCTCGTGGCACGCAATCCTTTATTACTCGCAGGATTAATTGATATTGATGTGACATTCCTGTCAAGAGAACCGATCGATATTAATGCGACCTACCTTTTCCTGGAAGTAGCAATTTAGCTAGCAAGATATGCAATTACTGTTTTATTGCACGATCTTTCAAGCTGTTCAAATGATTTTCGTATGTTCTTTCCACTGAAAAACAAAGAACTAATTAATTGCCGTGTCATGTTTTATACTTCTTCATTGTTGTTTTCTAAAGAAAAATCTTATTTCTTATTGAAACAATTAATTTCAAAGCAACCTATAATTATATTATTGGAAAAATATTTATCTGAAAGAAACACTACACTTTTAAGTAATTAATTTTAATAATAAAGAAAAAAATA